CAGGAACCAGAGCTGAGGCCATGCTGGAAAGCGGGATGGCTGCTAGAGGGATGGCCTAAACCAGAATTTAGCATCTACAAGGGGCTACCCTCCCTCCCACTGCTTTAACAACTCAAAACTATCCCCTCCCCTCCCTTCTAAAAGGCTATCTTCAATAATATAAAAAAAATAATCACACACAAGCTGAATCCCGTTGTTATTTAAACATTCAGGAATGTGAGTGGCGAAACAAACACCTTGAAAGCAAAAATAAGTAGGAATGAGCAACTGATCATCATTTTTGAAGTCGTTTTATATAAAGTTACCAAACAAAACCTCAGTGATCAGGCAGACCATGCAGCGAGCTGCAGTGGAACTTCCCAACAGCAATGGAAAGGAGAAAGGAGAAGGGGAGATCAAATAAAATATAAGAGCATTGAGGAGAGAAATCACAACAGAATGATTGAGGTTGTCTGTGAAGGCCGACGCTTTGGTGACAGAACCAATGAGAATGCAAGAGACTGGTTGTAGGTGGTGCTTGTTGCCTGGGCAGCAAAGTCTGTAGTCTATTTGCTGGTCAGGACCTTGGTAGCGACAGCACATTCCTCCCCCATGGCAGAAATGACAGTGACCTGCAGAGAGCACACAACATGTTTAAGTCAATCATCTGAAACTTTACAGACGCAGCTCGATCTTCACACTTTCCACTGGAGTGACAACAATCCCGTCTGCATTAATGTCAAAATTATAAGAATAAGAACACATGGCAGACAGATTTCTGCTTCTTCATGAGATGCTATTTATGACAAGCAATGCCGAGAATTTGCCATATCGTCATCAGTTTCAGGTGTCAGGCATCTTCACGACGATAAAATTCAAAATGCATACCACCCAGGACTTGCATCAGAACCAAAGAGTATCTTGTGACCCTCAAGAGTAATTTAACATCTTCGTGCAGAGAGGTCTCACAGGTCATTACAGAGCTGCATTTATTAATTAAGAAGCCACGACAGTGGCATTTGTCCTTTCCTGAAAGGATAAAAACATTTCTTCAGAAAATTTGAATGACCATTTGCATTAATAAAAAATAAAACCCCTACTGTTCCCAGTAGGCTTAGTTCACACCATATATAGTTATATTGAAAAGGTAGCCGGTTTCTAGCCAAAAACTATATCTTACAACATTACATTTAAACACATGACATTATAATTTAACTCTGCCCAATATCAATTTGTACCTAATAGAGTTTGAATGCATCATAATTTTCGCTCTTTTCTCTTTGTATATAAATCCTGCTCAGTCCCCATGTCCATTGCAGCACTTTTAAAAATAGCTACAGGAATAAATAAAAAGGGTATGACAAGTTAAACTCAAAAGGCTGCTTTACTAACACATTTTCAATAGAAAACAACCAAACTGATTTTGTTGCAGTAGCTTGCTGTGGTCGCATTCTGCCTTTAAACAATAATCTCATGTGGGACCTGATAAAACATGGTGGCTGTATACAAGGGACCTTTCGCCACAGTGAGTTATTGCAAGAGCTTTGAGACTTACCATGAATTCATCACCAGCTTCAAACTTAGTCTCGATTTCCTTGCCGATTTCGCTCTCAGGGACACGCAGGTCCTCCCTGATATCACCGCTGTCGCTCATCAAGGTCATGAAGCCCTCGTTGATGTTAATCAGCTGGAAAGGAGACAACCAAACCGCCAATTACACAAACTCTGTCCGGTGTTGCAAACAAGTCTAGTCCTATAAACTCAGATGGTAGCGCAAGAGTGATTATTGCCAGGTTTTACAACAAAAGTATTCTTCTTGATTATGCTTACATGAATAATAGTCATTTTAATGGAACATTAGTGGCATTTACATAATCCTTTTGTTCATATTGGAAGATGGAATTTCCAATGCCAATATTAGAGTTAGGGAAAATGTTCTACCAACAATATTTAAAATTAATTAAACATACATAGTATCAACTAGAAGAAATATATACCTATATTCATATTCGGGGGCAAAAATGTACTGCCTGAGTACCTGGTAATCTATCCTCTTGATGGAGGGAACATCCATGTTGTGGGTGGATGGGCACATATCTTCATGCTTCTTGTTGGTGAAGATGTCGATACCAACCATGTTAACCTATGGAAGAAATGGTTTATTACAAAGTGAGGTCAAATATTCAGAGACCTGTCAGTGTTAGCTTTATAAGACAAAACATGAAGCTTAGGAAAGCACAAAGAAATACAAATGCACCATATGCGGAAAAATTACGCCAAAATTGAATGTCTTTAGTATAGCGCGAAATATAACACGACAAGGACATTTCTCACAGCTCGATCAGACTGGTCTGAAATGTGAGAGACCCGAAGGGCCAAGCCGAGTCTCGGGTCTCTGCCAAGTCCTTCTTTGAAACTGCTTGAGTTTTTTTATACCAAACTACCGCCATCATTTTTGAGGGGCTACATTACCATACTTTAAGGATCAGTTTACCTTGGCATGTCCGTGCTTGCCGGTCTTGGAGGTGGACATCTCGACAATTTTGCAGGGGCGTCCCTTCAGCACCACATACCCGTTCTTACGCAGAGCAGAGCACTGCATAGGGAAGGTGGCGGAGGCGCCAGACTCGCCAGTCGTGAAGTCAAGATCGGGATCTGACATGGTGATGGGTCAGCGGTGCTGTAAGAGATACGTACAGAAAAATCACCACACTGCCTATCAGAAAATATTCAAACTCAGAAATATAGCAATGACAGGATTTATCCTGGAAGCGTATACTAAATCTGATGTGTAAAGAGTTGAATTGTTTACATGACAGCTGATATAATGAAAGGTTTACTTGTTATAATATATTAAAAATGTGAGTAAAAGCACAAATCCAGACCCGCCTTCTGTAAACGGCAATAATTGTGTCATACATTTTTTTTAGGCATTCTGACAGGTTTGTTTTTGCACTAAATACCCAAACGAAAAGATGTTCCTCGTTTGAATTCGGGTAAATTATTGTGGGGTAAATACAAATGAATTGCCCTGTTTCTGACTTTACTAGGGTCCCACTGGGCGGGTCGAGCACTGCCATGTAAATAGATATCGCGAGACAAAAGTAGCACTCAATGTTTTACGAAGATTCAATTAAATCCACTCTGAACAAAAAAGTTTAAATACTCACTTTAGCACTTTTGTAAGCAGACGATACGGAACTTCACAACACATCAACATCAGCCTATCAGCTCAATGAGTCACAGTGGTTTTAAAAATAATAACACTGTCTCCCAAAGGGGAATTGGGGGAGTTATTTGAGTAATCTGACATTAACAGACGAGCTGGCGTAAAGCAAGTTAGACGGCCTGGAGTTAACAAGTGCAACAGCGCCTGATAACGTTTAAAAGCCAACTAACAATAACGTCACACGCCACCATTTGCAAATATTGTTGTATATTTCTGTTTAACACTATCTACAAAATTAACAAAGCCTGGTTAGGCTACTTTTTAGCTGTTGAGGTGTATTTTTACCGACTGACTTGCGCGTCTGTTTCACAAATAGCAAATACCGTGTTCCGGCTGTCAGCTAATGGGATGCTAGCGATCCATTCAGCTGCGTCCAAATAAAAGCAAAGATTGACGCCCCGTCGGAAGCAGCGGATATGCGGACAGTTGTGTTTTAGTTCCCGACATTTTATAGAAACATAAGGTGATAAATAGCCATCTGATTCTGATTTTCCCTACTAGGAAAAAGGTAGACATTAGCGTGGAGAATGACAAGCGACTTCTACGAAGAGTGCAGCCGAAGGCCTCATGTCCCTTTGATTCAATCTGTTAACGTTAGCTGGAGCACGGACACCCACACCCCGGACTGCGACCGACAAACATCTACCGGGACAGCAAATAACTACATCGCCAGCTTCTCAAACAATTACATGGGTACTTCAGCGTCTCTGAACCCGTTATTCCTTCAATTAAAAAACCGTTATGCCCCCCGTGTATCCCCCCAAAGGCAGAAACACGCGCCATGCCACACTTACCTTCCAAGAAAAAGAGGACCGAAAGTGCGCAAGCGCGGCCAACTTTACTGCAGCACCCGTAGAAGGCGAGGGAGAGGGGTGTATGTTTTCCGGTGGCAGTCTGGCAGAAAGGGATGACAGGTCGAAGGAAATCCAACCTGGCAACCTACATACGGGGCATCATGCATCATCTACTGTTTTTTCTTTTTCAAGGGTGCAAAAGGCGTGTCTTGCCAAACTAATGACAGAACCTTTTCAGTCATGGCCTTTCTTTGTAGGGATGCACAATTCATCAAAATGTAATAAAAATCGCATGGGTTTTTGCAATAATAACATTGTTATTATTTGTTACAGCCAAAATATGTGCTAGAACTATTCTGATATAAGTATTGTGGTGCTGCATCGATGTCTCAGCCTACACGTTATTCTAAATATTTAATAATCTGTGTTTGGAACAGATCACACCATAATGACTAAATATAAAGCATTTTTCAATCATAATATTGATTGTGAATCATATTGGAATTGCAAAATCACAACAGGTGTATTATCAAAGCATTGTGAGCGTAAGTGTAGCCCCACAGAACTGAAAGTACAGCTTTAACTCAAGCTACTTTATTAATATCTAATTAAGTATTTCGGTTGATGAACTCGGTTCGGCACTGAGGTCAAGCACAAATCTTTGAGCAGATTTTTTAAAAGGAACCAAAGCATATTTGCACATTTAGTTTTTTTTTCAGCCTATGCATCAGTCTTAAGTAATTAATAGTGCACACTTAACACTTTGTTAAATGTAGATTGTATGGTATTGAAAGAATCCAAAGTCCTTTAAGAGGTGAATCATCACATTGGGTAAAATATAACGTTAATGTTTTTTGGAGGATTTGGTTATGAAATTTTAAAAAAGGACCTGCAAACCCAATTTTGCCAGGGCCCTTTGTTCAACTTCATGCTAGTACATGTCTTTCTCAACAAATGTGTCATATCAATTAATTGAAAAAGAAAGAGAGTGGAGCAGGTGTTGTTGCTGTACAAGGAGAGGACATTTATTGTAGATTTTTCAACATCACAGATGTGTGTTACCAGATTGAGGTCGTCTTTTTGACTGATTCCAGTGATTCAGACAAGGTGAAAACGTACACTCACATGCATGTCACCCACCTGTGCACACACCTGCTCATCTACACATACACACGCGCACACACACACACGCACAGACACACACTCACAGGCTGACAGCCGTACATACGTTCACAGTCCTGATACGTACAAAAATTGAAATACAAATACAAATAATACCACAATAAAAACATTGTATTTTTTTCTTTTTAGAAATTCTTATAGCTATGTTTTCTATTCTGTAGAAAGACAACTAAGCTTTCATTAGTGAACATTATTATTTTTTGTCTTCCTCTAAAATGATCAGTAAGATATCATCATAAACGAAAATTCTTACAGTATATATATCTTTTTATCTATGGTCTCTCACACGGACCCTGACCTTTATTCACAGGCTGATTAATGCTAACATCCTGCACATGGAAAACCTGTAACATCCTTTAAGATCAATGAACAATCAAAAGAAATATCAAGTAAAAGGTGAACATCTTTCCTCTCTCGCAGCCTGATCACAATCCCACAAACATCAGTGTTTACAGAGACAATCATCAAAGGGTAAAAAGTAGAAAATGTCCTCAAAAGTGATGCTGAGCCCGCCCTGCTCGCTCTTTATAAGCTGCTCTAAGTGTGAGCATCAACAAAAAGTATGCATTTGATGGTAAATGTATAATAATCCAGTCTGCAATCTTGACTTATCTGACTGTTTCTCATGAGATAAAAGCACAGAGGCAAAGCTAAGTTTCAAAACTTTGAATGTAAAGTAGAAAGTTTGTCTCTCAGCGTCCAGCTTTGACAGTCTGTGTATTGCCTTAAACTTACAATTTATAATAAGTGACGACAGGTAAAACATGTTTGTCACCATGCAAAATGCACAACTTAATAAACAGTGATGAACTACGCAGAAAAAGAGTCAACTTGAGGTGTCAACCCAAACAAATCTTTTGTGTAAGTCCACTCTTGATGGACAGATTTTACAGAGGTATGAAATAAAAGCGAAACTTTCTTGTTTTCTTTCTTGTGTATTTTCACCTGCTTTTGCAAAAACTGTCCTTAACATCAAAGTGAGTATTTACACAGTGTACACAGAACAGCAGGGACAGAACAAAAGGTGGAAGAAGAAACAAAAAACTTCCAGAAGTTGGCAACTACTCTACGCCAAGTCCCTTTTGTGAGAAATGATGTGAAGTTATTGTGTTGCTGTTGCAGCAATAATACAATATCTACAACCTTCCTTCCCCTGCCAGATATACACCAGGACAAAGAAGCCGTGCATCCTCAACAACAAGTATAAAATCCCCCATTTTCCACTGCTTTTTTGTAATTCTTTTTCTTCTAAAGGGGAAGAGACAGAAGGTGTTTCACCAGCAGCAGCACTCAAAGTGAGTGTTCACACTGTGAGCAACACCATCATAAAGTCCTTTCATTTCCTACAGACAGAGAGCAATGATCAGGGGAAAAACATAGCTCCACTTCTCCCGGTTTTATGGATTGTGATGTGCTTTATCATAAAACATCTGACAGCGCTAAGAGAACACCCTTTGAGGTTTTGCTACAAGATGTGAGTCTAGAAAACATCCATGAAGATCAGTCATCACTTTTCATCATATACTATAAAATCTGAATTCAATATTTGGTCTTATGATGATAAAAAGGCTGATTCAGCGTACATCCACACTTAGACGGAAAAAGCTGGAAAATAATGAGTGTTTACATCAGTAGGTTGTTGTAAAGATTATTTGTCATATAACACAAATTAGGGAAAGGCAAATGTCTTTTAAAGGTTAGATGAGTCTAATGAAGTCTTCTATATCTGCCAAATACCTGATTCCTATCCGTTTTAAGCATGTCAGATAAATGATGAATGATAGCACTCAATATTCAGGGGAGACAAATCATGTTTTTATTTGTCCGTCAATATTTTAGATGTCGAAGACAGTTATTTTTAAAATCGGTTTATCAATCGTAAGTAATATCTTTTGTGATATATTCAACAAGTTTATTGCATTTCTTTAATATTTGGTGCAGCCCTAATGGCAGATTGAGGTTGTCTTCCAACGACTCATTCTTGCTTGTCCACAGCTCAACATTTGGTGAGAGTTTATGGATTTTTACACATTTATTTTGGAGATAAAACCACAATTTAGTTTGGACAACCTTAGCCAGCCTAGTGCGGATGTACTGCAAAGTGATTTTGGTGACTTTTAAACCAGCTGCATCTGCTATTTTGGTCATTTTGAAAGTTTTCTTCTTCTGTTGATGCTACCTTAGAAAGTAGGATTTTTTTCTTACTATGACCCAGCCCTGTAAAAGCTGTATGATTGAATTCAGCCCACCTGCATCTTCACCAACAAGCAGGAAATCATGCTCGCAGTGTGAACACCCTGTCAGGAATCATTAATGTGCTACACAGAGATTTTCTCCAGGAAGTCAAAGGCTACTCGGCGTGATGTCATCGTCCTTTAAAGTCTGGAATAAAAACCCTCGAGAGGAAACGTCCACAGCGTAGGCCGCTGTCAGTGTGTGGAGTGACCTGCAGCGCCACCTAGAGGTTGGATGCTGTTTTTACTGCGAGTTTACTCCAGTTGCAATTTCGTCCCTTCAGCAGCTCGTTGATTTCCTCCAGACACACATTGTACACACACACATACTACACACAAACACACACACTGTCCTCCTGATGTCGGCCGATGTTCAGAGTGAAGAAGAGGAGGCTCGTGTTGTTGAAGGTTACCAGTTCATCATGGAGCTTCTGTTGAGGGTCATGAAGAAGACTTGGCTGCTTCCTCCAGAGCGCACCGAGGCAAAGAAAACCTGCAGGGAGGAGAGGTAATAATACAGTAGATATGATGCAGATTATTTACTTACATATTGATTGGAAAAATAAACAACAAAACAACTTTTATTTATGGCTGTTAACAGTTTTCCTCTATTTATTCACACACACATGTAAATAATATGTGCCCTTGTTGCTGTTAAACTACTGAATTTCCCCACGGGGATTAATAAAGGTCAATTTTATCTTATCTTATTTTATACAAAGAGATTTCCAAAGTTCCTTTTGTAAAAGTCTTGACCAAATGAATCACAAAATGTTTGCAAATTAGCACCTATATAATAAGATAAGGAAACATTGAGATTTCCTGCTTTGTTCTTTTTCTACATCATATTAAACAAATAAACCTTTGGGTTTTGGACTGGCAAAACTACACTTTTAAAAACATCACCTTGGACGTTGATGTACTGGGATGGATATTTCTAATTATTTTCGGAAATTTTAATAGACCATTAACTGATGAATCAAGAAAAAGTTATTGACAGATTAATTGAAAACAAAAGTAATCTTGCAGTCTTGAAAAAAAAACAAAAAGAAAACATTACCAGTCTTAACCACATGACGGCTCAAAAAGCACTTCATTTTAAGTATCATGTGTGAAATGTTTTTACTTTTGTAGCCCAGACAAAGAAGCTCAGTATGATACGATCAAATATATCGTATATATATATATATATATATATATATATATATATATATATATATATATATCGTATATATATATAAATTAATATATATATATATATCGTATATCGTATATATATATAATATATATTATATATTATATTTAACCAATATAAATATTAGGTTAAAGGTTTAGCCTGTTTTCTCTGGTAGTTGTAAATGTTTTTCGGGTCGTGCAGGGGTTTTTAGGACTCACCTTGTCGTTCCTCTCCGATAGGAACTTCAGTCGCTGAGCTCGCTTGTGCATGAAAACTCCATCGAGGTGTCCCGTCTCCACGGAGCGGATCTCAATGGCCTTCTCTCCCCAGCCCATGATCTGGTTGGAGTGGATGTAGGCTGCAAGGACATACACACACATACACACACACACACACACACACACACACAAACACAAACACACAGAGGGGGATTGGACAGGAGAAGACTCAGCACCAGTCTCACATCCAAGCCAGTCACACATCCTCCGCCTCACCTCTGGGAGGAGATTATTGCAGCAGTTTCTGACCGATTTAAAACGATAGCAAGCTCTGATGTTGATATATATGAGTTATTGGAGCACCATTGACTGATGTAGGATGTCTGAGATTTGCAGCATTAGTGACAAATTCAGCTTTTTTTACAACTGCTCTACTATAAAACATTACAGTGGGAAGGTTTCGAGCCAATGAGATTAGAAACTCGGTGGAGGTGAAATGCTAATAATCTGGTCGAACGACTTAAGTGTGCGCTACAAAGTGATGGAAAAGCATCAGCAGAGAAGGTCCAGCTGGCAATGATGTGCACCTTCCTCTGTCACAGAGATAACATCCAGTGGAAGGTTTTTTTCCCCTCTTGCAATAAAGTTTTTTGCCGTTGTCGAGTGAAAACGTTACGACGATGCAGTATTTATGATTGTCCTTGAAGGGAGGAGGGGGCTGAGGCCGGACTTGGCTGTGAGAAACTCTGGTTTGACATTAAATACACACACACATGTTAACAAGAGATGATGTCCACATACAGAGCCAACAGTCAAATATCATCATCATTCAGGATATTGTACACTGAGAAAGGCTGAATGGGAAAACACTGAAGATTTGACTCAGATCATAAAATCCAAGATCCATCCCTGATGTGCTTGAGTTTCCTCTCCATGTGTTTTGACTGAGTGTGACTGAGTGTGTACAAATAATAGATGTATTGCTTCTGCTGAATTGCAGAAATATCTTGTTTTTGGAGCTCATGCAATCAGGGATGAATGTAAGATTTTTTGGAAATATTTAATACAGAACAAGAGAACAGACCAACAACACACAATCATTTCCCCCCACATTAGAAAAACACGTATTTAAAAAAAGTAGTGTTTAAAGGAAAAGTGTGTGCTCATGGAGTAAATGGATTTCCAACACTCGACATTAAAGAGATACAATCAGTTTTTGGGTTGTTATTTTTTGGTAAACTCACCTGAAAAGCAATGATAACATTGACACCAGACCTCTGGTTTGATTTGTTTTATTATCCTGATATTGCATGAATTTATAAATGTCATGATACTAATGACACTTATTTCATCCCATGTTTGTGTATTTTTATCTACCTATGGTTAAGCTTTTTTGCCAATTTTGTATGCTACTGGTTGTAATATATTTAGTTGTGTTTTTACAATTTATGTGAGCTTAACTTTGTTTTGTTGCGAGAGGTTCAGCTGTTTAAGCCTGTGACTACTTGACCCCTCCATTTAATTGCTTAAATATCTGGATTATATGCAGTCTTATGTTAGTACAACAAAAACCCCACATATTTTAATGTCTGAATTTTAAAATACTAAAGTACTGATATTTGTATGTGCTTCATGTATCAGCTACTGATATTTGTATGTGCTTCATGTATCAGCTACTGATATTTCGTGAACATTTCATTATGAAGCAACAGAACCATCAGTTTCACATGGATGATTTGAGCTCCTACTGTTTGTTCTCATCATGTAAACAAATAAAGTTATTAAACCTCCCAAAAGCCTGTTGTATCCCTTTGATATGAAACAGGTGACACTACAATCTTCTTGTTTTAGCGGAAAGCAGAAGGCAGGAGGAGAGAGAGGAGTGTTGCTTTGAACGGAGGAGGAAGAGGAGATAGTAGAAGTGAGGGTGAAAGGATGATCCGATCATAGAGGTCAGAGGTCAGTGGGGTTGAGGGAGAAACGAGCTGATTGGTTGACGTACCGACGGATGTGGGCATCTCGCCCCACTGCAGCACCACGTCTTTGGTGATGCGTCCGTAGGTGTTGACGTAGACGCCCTCGTCCTCGTAGCAGAGCAGCATCTCCATGCCGTCCGTCTTGGGCAGCACCACGATGGCGTGTGGGGTCACCTGACCCTGAATCTGCGAGATGGGGGGGGGGGGGGGGGTGAGGAGTTTGGGGGGGGGGGGGGGGGGGGTTCAGGGGATTAGGAGCCGCTGTGATCACTAACCCCCCCACTGTCCCCTCCCTGAGTGAGGAGAAACTGCTGCAACAATAAAGGCTCCCGCTCCATATGCAGCCACGCAGTCGCCATGGAAACAGACATGAGCGTGATTCATGTAAGGCGGTCGCCGTGGTTACGGTCTACTTCTCCCTTACCCCCCCTCCCCCCATCCGTAACCAGACCGAGGTTAGAGGAGGACACCAACTATCCCACAACATCACTCATTCATTCATTGAGTCATTAAAGCAGGTATACATTCATTCAATCCCTCTTTTATCCATTCACTACTTTATTTATTCATTCATTCAATCTCTCTCCTGTCCATTATCATTTTGTTTATTCACTTATTGATTAATTCACTCACTCATTTAGTAAGTTGTCCATTCACTCTTTTATCCATCATCACTAATTATTAATTCACCCACTAATTCATTCATTCACTCATTATGGCAGCAATCCCTGTATCCAATCAATCCTTGTTCTATCCATTAATTCATCTATTGACTCACTCATTCAATCATGAAGGCAGCCATCCTTTCATTCACTCGTTTATCCGTTCACTTAACCTGAAAGGAACCACTCATTTAAACATTCAATCAAATGCAATTAAATACAATTAATGTCTAGATATGTAGATATACACACACACACACACAGACACTAACATGTGAGGGGATGTAGATGTCGTAGGGGCTTCCAGAGTCCACATCGATGACGTGGAAGCCGACACTGGAGCCATAGATGACCTTTAACCTCTGACCCTCCTCCACCGTCAGGTCCACCAGCTGAGGGCGGTGCTGCAGCTCAGTGAACGACTGCAGAGGAAAACATTTATTAAACACAATAAACATAGGGAAAACAAATATAAGTTAATTTGAAAAGGTTTCAAAAGTAAACCAGTTGCCCAACATTGACATTGTATTCAAACATACAGGGTCAACTTTAGCCTTGTTAGAGGTATTTTACCACTTTTATCCAACTGTTTAACACCACATCTAACCTTGAAGGCCATAAACTTGTGGTAAGGTTTAGGGGCCCAGGCGTAGATCTCCACTGCGTTCTTCAGAGCAATCACCAAAAACTTAATCCTCTCATATTTCACTGCAGAAAGAAAGCATTAAAACAGTCAGATATGCAGAACCATATATACACAAATAATTAAAAAGAATATGCTTGAGTTGCAATTATCCCATCCATACACAACTGTCCTCACAATACACATAAAGGTGTGTTTTCTTACCGACTTTGTAGTGCACGCAGCCCTCCAGCTCCCCGACAGTGATCCAGCCTTGTTTCTTTTCCACTTCAGGGTCATTGTGTAATATCCTGTTCCTTAGCCAGGACAGGTAGTAAACTCGCAGCTTGTTCTTCTTCCCTGGTATGGAAAGGAAATCAGTTCAGAGAATTAATATTCAGGTTTGTTCAATTCAATTAAAAGTACTGCACTTCAGTATTTCTACTCTACATGTCACAGGTTAATATCGTACTTTTTACTTCACTACGAATGCAGCTTTGGATAATTTTTCGAATCAAGGTTTTTACTCCCCATGAATCTCTAGATGAATTTTAATGTTAGTGATAATAATACAAATAACCCAGAAGCATCATATGTGATATTCATTTCCCACCTGAGATGGTGACAAGGACGTTGAGTCCCTCCAGGACGTCCATCTGTTGAAAGCGCCGTCGATTAATCAGATTATAAACTTTCCCTTGACCGCTTCGATCCAGCAACATCAGGCCGTTCTCCGTCCCCACCAGCAGATTCACTCCTGCACAAAAAAAAGTCTCATTTTTTATGTCTGTATTAAATGCATTGAATGTACAAACAAACAAACATACAAATGAATACATAAATAAATTGGACTCCTCTGTCTCACCCCAAAGAGCTGCACAGAGGATCTCAGAGTTGAAGCGTTTCTTGTATTTGCGGATCTCGGGCGTGTCGCTGTGCGGCCGGATGTTGGTCGGGTTAACATTGACTACGGAGATCTTTCGGGCCTCGTTGAGCCGCGCCTGCTCCTGCTCCTGCTTCATAAGCTCGTCAGAAAAAAGCGCTGCAACAAAACAACACACAGCACATTATCATTTTGAGAGATTAAAGCAATAAATATAATTTTTGTGAAGCAGACTGTAGGTTTTCTTCTGGTAAATATCCCGGTAAAAGACCTGTTATATTATCTTCATTTTCACCAACTACCACTGTGATTAATACATACATGAGGCAGAAGTGTTATCGTCGTCGTCAGTCGGTGAGGTCCCGTAAACCCTCGGATCTACGAACGGAGTGAAGGAAGACTTGGATCCCCCGCTCTTCCCCATCCCGTACTGCACATTACACAAATAAAGAATCAAGTAAATGACATGTTTGTCAGATGGTTTGTTCGTTCTGGGGAAAGTTAATGAAGCAGGTAGCTGTTGAAATGAAAGAGTTTGTTCAGCGAAAGATTTCACTTTCTCTTTTCTTTCTCTCATTTGTCACGATAATGAAAACCCTTTTTGGCCTCATCCTTCGTAATAGAGTGGTGCAGGAATGAGTCCTAAACCTGAAAGTGACTTAGCATTTTATGTTCCTGGTAAAAGGTTGTGATTAATACAAGCTAAAGAGATTTTAACTATTCTACGACGTAAAATACATCAGTAAATACCCCACTGGGGAATTTAAAAAAGGACGGATGCTAACAAGTGTCTAAATGAGACGACTAAACGTCATCACGCCGAACATTAGCCGCCTTTAGCTTAGCGGTGGTGACGTGAAGTCATGAGACCATGCTGTAGTTCATTTATAGCATAACGTTAACTATTAACTTAAAAAATGGTAAGGTGTTATGTGGAGATTATCCTGCTGAACAGAACGTGTAATAACATAAACGTTTCTCTGCCACGGAGCTTATTGTTACTACAGAAATACCACATTCCTGCACCACTTTATTCAAATTTCACTTATTTTTAAGTGTTCAAGTTTTAGTGTAAGATACATGCATCATGTACTCAGGGTGGAGGACGTTTTCTGAATCTGGAAAACTGAGAGAGGGAGGAAGAAAGTGGGATAAAAACGAGCAGAGCAAACACGAGCAGGGGAGGAAATAAATCATTTTTTCCCCAATCACTGCAGCCAGCGATTGAAATAGAGCAGGGCAGGAAATTAAAGGTGCCACATCATTTTTAATCATGCAAAGAGCCTCGGTTCCGAAAAGTCTTGTTGCTCTAAGATACAAATAGAAGCTGCAATATTACTGTGGTGAAATATATTGATTGATGAAATTAACATGTATACCTTATTCATTGTTTTAGTAGTAAAACTGCACATATGTTTGGTTATGCTTTTTAATTAAAAGACATCATTTAAAATTGATTTTATGAATTGATTTGGGTTTTGATCAAACATTTGCAATAATTTGAAGGTATCATGTGTTGAAATGTTAGCCAAATTGGTGCAAACATATAAACCAAAAACATTACATACCAAAAAGATCATACTTGTACCTAGGAATAGTAAAATAAAATAGTAAAAAAATCAAGCGTTATGTTTCTTGGTGTTTGATTGGTGGCTACGGCTAATTTCCCCCTGATAAGGAGCAGGTTGAGGTGTGACAGGGTGAACAGGTGGCAGGGTGCTGGTCTCAGGTGTGGGTGGGGGTCAGGTGGGGGGGTTAGGGTTATATGGGCCGAAAGTGGGGTGCAGCTACACCTACTTGGGCCCCGGGTGCGTCGCCAGGGGAGACAAGGGGAGAGGGGCTTTGCTGCACCAAATCGGGAAGATTGGCGTTGCCGGAGAAACCATTGCTGGCGGCGGAGCTCCGCCTCCGTCTGCCGTGTTTCTGCAGAGAGAGATGGGTGCAGCCAGGCTTTGATTGACAGCTCAGGTGAAGGAGGGGGGGAAACCTGCTGTGTGCGGCTGTGTTTGGTTTTTAGAGAAGGGGGCGGGTGGGCACTGAATCCAGAAGAAAGAGCCCCTTTGTATATTTAACAAACAGAAACCGGAGTCCTGCACAGGTCAGAAAGCGCTGGCACCATCATAACAAAGAAGTAAAAGCGAATTTCTCTGAGCAGATTAGCTGGGAGGACACTGAATGTCAAACAAATAGATAGGAGCACAAATAGAACATCTAAATCAAAAAACGCTGTGAAGCCAGCGCCTCTGCCAGAAGAAGACACAATGTGTACACAGAGCCTAAGAGGATAAAGGGAGGGTCCAGTTATTATTATTGTGAAGTCAGAGAGGTCAAAGGTGGTCTCACCTCTCTCATCATCAGGGTGCCGTCCTGTGAGCTGTTTCCATACGAGTCATCATTGTGACCTCCCAACATGCTGAAGGCCTCGTTCATAGCTTGACCCGCATTTGGCCTGAAAGACACAAGTCAAACATAAATGCATTTTTACTCAGTATAGCTATTTTTTTATCAGTGTTCCCACAAATTCTTAAAAAGTCTTGAAAGGCAAGAAATGTATTGATCTACAAAATAAGACCTTGATTGTTATTACTCGTATTAGTTTCAAACGATTTAAATTTGCTAAGACATGTTAAGTAGGATGGTATGAATTATTTGTTCTGACACAATTACTAAATGCGACCAACAAGAGCAGTGATGGTGAACCATCAAATTCAAAAAGGTTATTAAACCAAAACAAAGAGCTGAAAACTTCCATAATTCTCGACCGGGAAAGGAAACTCCTAATCATTATTATAAAATGACTACAGATCCCCAGGTAAAACTAGTCTTGTGCTATAGGGCTTTTTAACGATCTATGATAGGACTCCATTATACAGATGTACCATATGAAGTGGACACTATATCTTAGTGTTTGCAAGGCCAGTGAGGGATCATTTCCTGTAGGATATTTAACAGGATCACTCACATGATCCGCGGTATGTCGCTGACGGCCACGGTCCCATCACTCGCACCCCCCTCCCCCTCGTCATCGTCGCTGCTGTGGGAGTCTTCGCTGGAGGAGGAGTAGTCGGTCACTTTGACTGGGGGGCGGCTCGTCTCCTCGCCCTGACGGAGCTCCCGCAACTCTTTGGCCAGAGCCGTCAGGTCCTGCAGGAAAAACACAAAATATGAAAAAAAAATCTAAGATGTATTTCTGTATGGTAGAAGTATTAAGATATTTTATTTAAAAAATATATGAATACTTCTTATAACGATGCGTTTTGAACATTTTCTTAGCTTAGACAACTTATGCATCTACCCAAAAATGATTGACAGTTGTCATTGTTGCAGCTTTATTGCTGAATGAAAATAAGTAGTTAAAAAAATATCAGAAACTTTAAATGTGCAAAAAAGAAAAAAGAAGAAAAATGAATACTTGAAAGAATCTAGCTGTGTTTAAAAAACCAAACTGAATGTCGACCTAGAAACACTTAAAGTTGGTGCAAATATTTTTCAAGGCCTTGGATTAATATGCTTAATTCATTATACGACATGGCAATATCTATAATATATATATCAATACATGTTATGACTACTAAAAGCTAAATTCGAAAGATTAACCGAATAAAATAAAATGAATAAACATGATCTTATAGAATACAGTGAAGTAATAATCTGAACATAAAACAAACAAAAAAATCTATTTTAAATGTTAAAACAGCTCACAAGGTTTCCATTTGTATTAAGCTAAATGCAACTTCAAGCTAATTGTGTTTCTACTCCAATTTTGATAGACTAGCAGAAGAAATTAAAAGGTATATTTGTTGAAGCCGGAGTACTACTAACATCTCAGAATGAGGCAGCTTGGAAGAAACAAGCAGGTGAGAAAAAAGTGAAAGGGAGTTTTACTATTTGTGGCACAAGCTTTTAGTGAGATTATTTTACATTTTAGCCACATGAGTGTGAGAGGTTATAGTGGGATGGGCAGCGAGCAGAAGGATAGCGCTAAAAAGCTTAGGTTTAAATGTCAAACAAAAAGGTTGTAAAGTGGCAGGAAGTGTGGTGTAGGAATGGAGAGGGGGTTTATCTTACCAACTCCTCCTGATGAAAGAGAGAATGGGAGAAAGAGAAAGAGAAAAAGTGTGACTGGAAATGAAATATGAGAGCAGATATGTGTGAACAGGAAGGGGTGAGATGCAGACATGACTCCTACAGGAAATCATCAATGACATCTTCATTTCTGATACAAGAGGAAAACACAAAGAGCATCATTTAATCAGAGAGAGAAACATAGTTGTTAGGCTTTCACACTGATAGGTGTCATATTCAACATACCATATTGTGTGATTAACACATCTGTCTGTGTCTTGTATATATATAAACAAGAGTGGCTTTGAAAATATTCATTGATTTAAGGTTATTCTTTTGTTGAACGATATTGTGGTATTATAGATATAGTTGTCTCAGTAAAATGTATATATGAGCTGCTATTCTTTCATGCAATGCAGTCCATCTGAAAACAGCCCTAGGCAACAGCGACTGATGTTTTTTTTTATGCTTTATAACGGGATGGAAAAACAAGATGTGAGAGCCATAAAATAAAACTTCTGTAGGATTGCAGAGCTGTGCAAGAGTCCAAAGAAGGGACAGGTGAGTTCAAGGGGAGGAGAGATAGATTTCACTGAGAGGTGTGGAAGGAGGGGTGAGGCAGAGAGAGGGTGAAGGAGGAGAAATGTCACTAACCTCGTCTACAGCTCTCTTATAGCTCTGAGGAGCGAGGAAGGAAAGATGGAGGAAAGAATGAGAGGAAGAGAGTGAAAATGGACAGCAACGTGGTTAGTTCAGAGTGTGTGTGTTTGAGTGTGTTTGTTTGAGTGTGTTTGAGTGTGTGTGTACTCACTGCAGGCCGGCTGGGTCGTGTCTCTCTGCCGTCCTCTTTGTTCTCATGGGAAGAAGAAAGACCCGAGCCCTCAGTCTTAACTGCTTGGTTACCTGAACAAAAATAAATACATCAAAAATGTAGTACATTTTAGAAACCAAAACTTGTTTTATGGAGTGGGGACATTTTGGAAAGAAATTAGTTTTTGAGGAAGGTGAAGACTTAGTGTTCATTTATTTAATAAAGCAATTATTAATGCAATTTTAGAAAGTGATAAAACATTTTTAAATGTAGGGAAATGTTTGGGAAATTTGAGGATATTTATCGATGAGTGAAGACTTTTTGGGAAACTGAGGATTTTTGAGTGGAAGTGGAAACCTTACAAAAAATTAAAATATATTTTTGTAAGTTGAGGAAGGAGAAGACAATCAAACAATTTTGTATTCATTCAATGAATGTCGTCAAAGAAGTAGGGAGTATAGAAGCACAAACGTGTGTGTGTGTATGTGTATGTGTATGTGTGTGTGTGTGTGTGTGTGTGTGTGTGTGTGTGTGTGTGTGTGTGTGTGTGTGTGTGTGTGTGTGTGTGTGTGTGTGTGTGTGTGTGTGTGTGTGCACCTCTCTCGTTGGACCCCCCATGGGAGCTCGGGGTGCTGGAGCTGGAGGAGCTGCCGCTGCTTGTCTTCTTCAGCGGCGTATCCAGGGAAATGTCCGTCCTCCGCAGGTCGGGGTTGCTAAGGCAACACAAACACAGTGCCGTCTCATTCATACGGAAAAAAATCCGACATCATCATGTGTGTGAGTTTGTGTGCGTGTCCCTGATGCAAGTTCAAAACATGCCTTAAAGATTTGCTAAACTGCTTATGTATGTTTCGTGTACAGCATGATGAAACAAGCTTCAAATGCATGTCATTGTGGGAGATAAACTAAATAAAATATTTTTTGTTTTACTTGTGTATTTTGGTGTGTGTGTATGTGTGTGTGTGTGTGGCCTAGCATTACTATACTTGTGGGGACCTAAATCTGTTTACACAGTCACGTGTGGAGACTCGCCTCCCTTATGGGGACAAAATGGAGGTCCCCATGAGGGGAATCATTAATTTTAGGGTGAAGACTTGGTTAGGTTTAGGGTTAGGGTAAGGGTAAGGGTAAGGTTAAGGGTAAGGGTTAGGATTAGGCATGTGTTGGTTATGGTTAAGGTTAGGATAAGTCTCCAGGAAATGCATGTAAGTCAATGTAATGTCCCCTGAAGTGATGTATACATGGTGTGTGTGTGTGTGTGTGTGTGTGTGTGTGTGTGTGTGTGTGTGTGTGTGTGTGTGTGTGTGTGTGTGTGTCTGGTGTGTGTATGCGCGTACCTGGCCCGTATAAGGTGGGCTCCAGCCCGGGGGCCGAGGCCTGGTCCGTTTCCAGGAGAGTGTTTTCTGACTAAAGCAGGAGAGATGGAGGTCGTCCTCTGAGGAACCTGAATACACAACACACACCTTAAGAACCTCCACCTGTTTCCATTACACACCTACAACACAGATTTGTATCTACCTGTATTACAACATCTGTGCTGTTGGGTTTGATTTAGAACATGACTGAAAGCAAACACATACATCAGTGTCCTGCTCATTTTAAAGGATTTAAATCAAAGTAAAAATGCCTCTTTAGGGACCCCTGGACTTTCTACGTCTGTGTTAAATGTGTATTGTAAACGATGTACTGCTCAAAACAATGGATTATTCATTGTGACCTTTGATGTTAATACCATAAGATCATGTTTTATATGTTATAACAAACATATAAATATCAGGAGAGACTCCCAACAGAAACTTAGGAAAAAGGAAGAAAAGAAGAGAAAATGAAGACAAAGCAAAAGTAAACACACACACACACTCGGACAACACACGGGTGGGGCATGCAGAGACCTTGGGGGGCACGTCGTCATCCTGCCGCAGCCATGAACTGCGGTCCAGCTTGTCGAGGGGGGGTGCCAGGCGGGTAAGGGGCAGGGGGGTAGGGGTGTCAGAGGTGGGGTCGGAGTTCTGCCGGGGCATGGGAGGCCGGGAGGGGGAGGGCGACGCCGAGGAGGAGGACACGCCGTGGGGGTCGTACAGGGACTGGGACCCGGACAGACCGTGGCTCTTCACCTGCACCAGATGGGCCATCTGCACGCACAAACACGTGTGCGCACACACACACACACGCAGGAACCAGGCAGGGTTTGAGCAGGATCAATGTGATCGAGATGCAGCAGAAGGAGAGAAAGGTGAGAAAGAAGGAGAGGAAGGTGAGAAACACAAGCCTCAGGGTGCGTTCACAACAGCCAGGTTTACACAACAACAACTTTTCATCTAACAACTCTTTAAAACGCAAGCTTCTGACCTCCAGCTGGAGAAAAAAACATCTAGATGCCAACTAGAAGTCACAGTTTAGGTCCAAGATATGTATGTGTCTGGATTACTTCTTAATGCTACTCAACTGTGAAGAAAATCACCAGAAAAGTACTTCTTATTAGGCAATGATGACTACTTTCAAATCCAAGTATCCAAGTATCTACCTGTGAACCATTGCTTTTAATCATAAATGTAGTTGTTAGTGGGTATAATATGTGCTTCTATATACATACATTTGCATTGTTTTCCCATTATTTCTGCTTGTAAAGTCTAGAGAAAAGCTAAAACAGTTGAAAAAAAGAGTTTCCACAACTCTTCCCAGAGGCCCAACATTTCAAACCCTGCACAATAGAGTACAATATTTAATTTGACAAATCCAAACAGGACATTCCTACATCTTTTATCTCACAAGCTTTACTATCAAAACAGGGCTGCATCATCTGCATAAAGTAGAGCTGCGGCACTTTGAATCACCACAGCAGACACTCTCTGGCTGAGTTAAAAAAAATATATTTTCAGAAAAAGAATGTAGAATCAGGTGTTTCTTCATCACAACAATCCAAGAACGTGTTTGCATTAAAGTGCAACTCACACCTAACCGGAAGCAATCAATACGTTTTATGGTCACGATCTAAAAACTCACACTCCTGACTGAGTGATGGCACCCTGAGGGATGTAGGTTAGTGTCACATGCACACACACACACATCTAAAGGTGTAGATGCACACACACCTGTGGTTCCACGGAGCGGTGCATTGGGGGGGTGCGGGCCTGCTGGATGCCTCCACTGCTGAAGGACTCGGAGCGGGGGGGCAGTGATGGGTCCGAGATCCGGTTAGCGACCTTATGCTGCAACGCAGGAGAAGTCTGTCTGTTCATCTTATAATGCTCCTCCACCTAACACACAAACACACACACACACACCACAGTCAGGTGTGTGTACATGGTTCAACTCCATTTATTAAAAGCACACTTTATAACTCAATAAACAAAATAACTTATTTGAAAATAACATTTGGTTTCCTAAGATTTTAAATATACATTATTTTGTTCTGCTCTATTCCAAGACTTAAGCACTTTTTAAATAATATTGGTATTCATTACATTTACTACCACGTACTTTTCATATTAGAAATGAAAGGATCTACTATTGTGATACAAAATTATCTGTTACCATCATTTTTCTAGCAGCAGTGAAAAATGAAACAAAATTAAATGAAATCTTTCTAATAATATATTATAATTCTCTAGTGTGAGTGAGAAGTGTTTTTTTTCATCTGAATGCTGGTCATCTGTTTTTAGAGGGGAACATTGTGTCTGGACCTTAGAGGGAAATCCTGGTGTGTGTGTGTGTGTGCGTGCGTGCGTGCGTGTGTGTGTCCTGAGGGAGAAAGACTGATTTAGCTGCCCTACATCAGTTAACCAGAGGGCAGGCCTAAATGTGTGTACATACTCCGGGGAGGGGACTTTGATTTATAGGGATATAAAAACTAGAAGAGATCTAAGGAAGCCCTGAACGGCCATTATTCAACATTTCATTTCCTCATGCAATAGGGATACTTTCATCAAACTAAGAGGTTACACGCCACTATCACGCCGAAACAAGTTTGGTTTTTTTTTTCTTCTTATGGACCAACTTATTATGGACTATTTTTATAATTATTTTAAAGATTATGTTAAATAAATATGTGCTTCATTGCAATCATTTCCGGACCAGAAATCTGAACATTGGATTTATAAAACATGCAAAAGACTCCTAAAACATTGAATTGAAGAGAATCAGGGTCAGAAAATGACAAAAACATTTAGATTAAGCTGTTAGTTTGAGCTTTTGTATTTCGATATATTATCCTATCACACCAGAACATGCAACAAAACAGCAGCCATCAACCTTAAAACATTCCATTAATAAAAGTTAGAAAACATCCAACGGTACAGGGTTGTCAGTAACCTGTCAAATGTAGAGTGAGTTTTTAGAAAGTAGATTAAACGTTACAGTGTGAAGGAGGCAACATGACACTTGATTAAAAGAGAAGAAGTAAAGCAAGTGTCAGCAAATTAGTTTATGGATTCCTGGGTGTAAACACATTTTAAAGTGGTTCAAATAAAGTTGTGTCTAAATTCTTATACAACTTTCAAAAAGTTGAATATGATTCAGTACTATTATGCAAGAGGTGTGAGTTATAATTTAAGAAGCACCAGCCAAAGAGGAAATGAATCACAAGATCCCTGTGAGAAACAGTGAGAGGAAGGGGTGTGAAATTAAAAAAGTCCTCGTTATAACTTCTGCAGCCAGCCCAGAGTTAATGCATGTGAGTCCACCTGGTAAGAGAAGTGAAAATGTGATTAAAGGAAATTATTCCAGCAGCGGGGGGCGGGGGTTAGATTAGTGAGTCAGCCTGGAGAGTGTGCAGGATTAAAGAGGAGAAGATAAAGTATGCTCTTCCTCCCACTGACCCTGCGCCCGGGGCTGCGGCCCCTGGACTCTGGGCCCCGGTCAGGGCTGCCGCGGGGGCTCTGCCAGCGGGCCCCCGGCTCTGGGATGCAGGTGACTCGGATCTGAGGCACGTGCATGTTCCCCCTAGAAGGACTGTTGTGAGCGGGGTAGGAGGGGGGTCTGCGGCGGCGGGGTTTGAAACCGGGGAGGCGGAGGAGGTCGTTCATGTCGACGTTCCGCGTCTCCCTGAAGGAGTGGTACTTCTTGGGGGGGATGCGAGGGGAGTTGCTCTGAGCTCGACGCATCACCTGGAGGGCAAGGTGGGTGCAAAGGACAAATGAAACACAGCGTGGACTCAGGTGTGCATCACGCCCTCTGGCAGCCATACTGGAGGTTCATATCAGACGACAGCATGTCTTAATTTAAAACCTGCACATCATTATTACACTTTAATTAATTTAATAAAGATCAGGTAACAAATATAATTACATCTTTGAAGTTAAAACTAAAGTTAAATGTTAAAAACCTGGCCAGTGTTTTAACAGATGTATTACAATTTTAACGTCATCTTTAAAATCGACTTTTATGTGGAAAATATATTGCTTCCAGTGGAAGTACATTTCCCAAGAAGTGTCTTTAATTTATGGCTCAATAAAGATTGCAACTTGAAATATATATATATTGCTACTGTATGAAAACATACAGCAGCATTTTTCTCGTAGTGGAACATAAGCATCTAGATGGCTTGAAAGTCAAAACGAATTTACAGCCAAACAAGAAATGTTTTGTATAAAGTAGCCAATTAGAAAGTAGCTGCAAGAGGATTTGTGTATATGCAACACTGAGTAACAAATGAGAGCTTCATTCCAAAATTCTTCGTCAAGTCTCAAGACCCAGAAAAAAAGCTACTTTTATATTTTCTGCGCTTTATTTGAGGATGATGCCATTCACAGAAATATAGCTATTGATGGTCAAAGGCCTGCAGCCTCACTCGTTAATAATGAACATTGTTTTGGGAATGAGACTCTACATTCACATCACAAAAACAGCGGGAAAAGCAGCACAGCACAGCAACGATTGTCCCATTGTTGCACCTAAAACATTTAAGTCAGAAAGAGTTAATTTCAAGGATCGCCACAGAAGAGATCCTCTGCAGAAATGAAACCTTGAGGAAATAAAACTCAAACGAGAAGACATCAACAAACAGTGTTAACCTGCAGGGAGCTCCGCAGGCCTCCAGCAATCATCATGGTGTGCATAGTGTTAATGAACGTTTTACTACAGACTTTGTCATTGGGGCTGAGCTGTTCGCACTTAAGTGTATTTTTAACTATTGTGTAATGGGTGCATTTGTTCCTACACGCAAACGGTCTCTGCACACACATTTAGATGTCAGCCTTCAAGAGATGAAAACGTTATTTTATACAAACATTTGTCAACAACACTCTTTGCAGTCTCACTCTTTGAACAAAAAGAATATTGCTTACAATATTGACTACTCATTTGGGATTCTTCTAATAAACTTCGATATTTATAAGTATTTTTATTACATGTTTAAAGAACATGGTGGACATCAAAAAATGTTTAAGATTCTGATGAATCGACTATGAATATTTCCTTGTATATTCAGATTAGAATGTACACAATATCTTTAAAACTCTATATAGTAAATTGATGTATGTGTAAAACTGATTCTGATTACATGGGGATCAAGAAAGATGACTCCTTATTCCAGAACTTCTCGTTTTGAGGACTGTAAAGCTTCCAGAGTGTCAAATAACTGCAGAGAGTGTGGGCCATGCATTTTACCTCCGTAGCCCAGGCCGGCTTGTCGTTGGTGCCGGGGGCCTGGTCTTTGTAGTGGTATAGCTGCTTCTTGTCCTGGGGGGGCCGGGGGGGTTCCTGCTGCTGCTGCAGAGACACCAGGTACGCTCGCTCCTGCTGCAGCTGCCTCTGCAGGCGCTCCGCCTGACGCTGCTCCTCGATCTGCTTCCTCTTGTAGTCCTGCAAAGCAAACACAGGAGAGGAGAGTGATGAGGTTAAAGGGGGGTTTCTGGATTCTCAAATTCAGAAGTCTTAAATAAAACACTACATCTTAAATACTGCCTGAGAAACATTAGTTAGAATGTCTTTCACATTTCCCTTAAAGGTTAATATTACAGTATCTAGTCCAAAGATATCAGGACACCGTCTCATGTATCATTACATCAGAGTGACTAAAGTCTTGTGCACGTTTTTACTTTAACTTCTTATATTTATTTAAATGGTTTTTATGCTTCATTTTATTTCATCATTAATTGGACATTTTACTTTAACGTCCATGTTTGACTATATATCATTATTTAATTGTATTTTTTTATTGTAAATTCTTACTTTTATTTTCATTTGTATTTATTATCATTCATTCTAAAATGGAGCAACTGTCACAACTTCAATCATTTGTGCAGTGGTGCAGAAATGTAACTACCTTTAAATATTAATTAATTGATAAAGCCATGGCAAAATCAATTACTGCGGGAAACATTCTGAAACAAAACGGTTTAGACTGTGGTATGACAGAAGGCTCCATTTCATTTATAGCAGACCAATAAAAATGACTGGGTATGTAATAAAAATGACTGCCATAAAGGCTCCGAGTTGTTATTACACTGCTGACTAACGGTGCACTGTCCCTGCTGTCTTGTTTTCCGTAATGGAAAAAGGATGCAAACATCATCGTGAACAATGAAGCTGAATAAAGTGTAATTTCACAAAAGACAGCTATCGACAAACACGCCCTCCGCTGTGTGTTTTTATTGATTTGATGTTTGTTAACTATTTTTCTGGAGTTGACATTTGATTCTGTCTCATCTCACTATTGATCGAGTATCTGCCTTTTAGATTTTTTGTGTGTAAATAACAAACATGGAGCCGGCACTCACCACTTCTTCTAAGTCCAGATACCTATCTCAACTATTTTAGTTTTTTTTACATGTTTCATTATGTGTGTTACCAGTATTGCAAAAATGTGATTTTTAAAAGTGTTTGTGTCCTGCTTAAAAGTCCCCAGCCGTGTGTGTGTGTGTATATGTGTATATGTGTATGTGTATGTGTGTGTGTGTGTGTGTGTGTGTGTGTGTGTGTGTGTGTGTGTGTGTGTGTGTGTGTGTGTGTGTGTGTGTGTGTGTGTGTGTGTGTTACCAGCAGTAAGGCCTGCTCTTGCAGGAGCTGCTGCTGCAGGATCTCCAGCTGCCTCTGTTCCTCCTCCAGCTGCCTACGGATATACTCCTAACCAATCAGCAGCCGTGAGCAGAGAGTAACGCAGCCAATCAGAGAGCACCGAGGCAGACAGGAAGCAAATCGGAGCCCAGGCAACCAGTGACATCAGCAGAGAAGGAAACAGGAGAAGAAGAAGAAGAAGAAGGAGAAGAAGAAAAAGAAGAAGACGAAGAAAGAGGAGGAAAGTAGATTTATTGAGGAGGTGTGAAAGTAGGGATTTAGGGATAAAGAGAGAAGCAGCAGGGGGTGTAATTAGTGGAGCAGAGACATGCGTACGGTTAAGATCAGCATGAAATCCTGAAAACTATGCCTGAAAAGGTAGAGCGTAAAGGGAGCGTTGTACTGCAGGAGAAGTTCATTATTAGTCATGCAGTCTTTAGAAAAGCTTCCCCTCTTTTACTGTAACATTTGAAATCTTCCTCCATTTCGTTCTCTTTGATTATAAGATCGAATGTTGATCTATACGTTTTCAAATTGATTGAGAAAACTGGACTCTACCCAAAACGGTATTTTGTTTTGGTAATCAATAAATGGCAATAGTTTTCAAAATTAAAAGAAATATTGATCGACTGAGAAGTTATAGATATTAACGGAATATATCTGTGTAATGGTAATCATTTAATACAAATAAATATGTTTTAAAATGTTTGCTTTGTTAATTTGATGGTTTAAAAACATGCAGTGTTTTAACCCATTGACACAGTTATTAATGGACGATGAGCTACTGATATAATGTTAAATGGATCAATGACTGCTTGTAACACAGACCAAAAACCAAGCAAACACTAAGGTTATCACACAGTGGAGGTTTTGTACAAAAGACATTAATTTACCACCGGTCTAAGGTTTTTCTTCTTAATAACCTGAGTGTTTAGAAAGGAGTGAGACATTTATTCTCATAGATTGTACCCCTTAAATCTTTGACCTTATTGTACCTTGGAAAATTCCCTTAAGGTCTCAATAAAAGAGATAAATAACTTTTTCGGGTTATTATTACTGAAAGTAAAAAAATGAATGTTTACAAAAGAGGAACTCTGCCTCCATTGCTCTTATTGTTAACCTAATCAGCTTTCTCCACTCAATGGATAAAATAACGTTACTCTCCGAATCCAAAAGGAGAAGGGGAATAAATATTGGGGAAAAAAGGATTGCTATAAACGTCTAGGATCTTAACAATGTCTTATTTTTATTGTTGGACATCTTTTATATACATTGAGCACTGTATCTGTCTTTTTATTTGTATTTTCTTATTCACTGGTTTGACTGTATTGTCCCAGTCCTCACTTGTTCTATTTAAAAAAACAAACAAAAGTATAAACAAAAAAAGGAAAAGAAAGAAGAATTTGAAGTTGGGTAAAAGCGAGAAGTAGAGTTGAGAAGCCCCGCCTCTCCGGATGACACCTGTGATGTAACCTCTGTGTATGTGTGTGTGTGGTCTGTGTGTGTGTGTGTGTGTGCACGTGTGTGTGTGTTTGTGTCCCCACCTGCTCTCTCTCCGAGTGCCTCCTCTCCTCCTCTCTCCGGAGCTGCTCCATCTCCTCGTACCTCCTCCTCTGCTCGCGCTCCTGCTGCTTCCTCATGTCCCGCTCCCTACGCTGTTGCTGCAGGTGGAGAAGAGTGTGTGAGTGTGTGTCTGTGTTTGTGTGAGCATATCAGAGGCCTGTACTACGAAGCTGGATTTTCACTTAGCCGGCTGACTTTCCGGTCCTACGACGCTGGTTCTCTTTTTAGCGGGCTAGATCTCCATGGTAACTTATGCTGAGCGGCTAACCTCCTCGGGAGGAGGTTAGGTTGCAGGCTAAGAGATCAACTCAGTGAAAGCACCGCCTGCTGACCAATCAGAGCTCCGTGTGCGGAGTTTAAAGCTATCAAGTCATATTACAGGATAGAGGAAATACAGAAAAACTGCCGTTGCAGGAAAGACGGCCGGCAAAAATCAACTGACTGTGTGAACATGAAAATTAATAGAATATCCCCTCCCATCTTCAGAACAATCTGACTATTATAACATTAGCGTTAAGAAAGCTTACTTAAATATCTGCCACAACATAAGTAACCGGATCAGAGTAACATTAAGTACAGTCCGCGGCACTGTGAGTGCAGACGTCGATGTGTCCCATTATCATTCATATCATATCACATCATAATGTCTCATATATTTCCTTATTTGAGTCAGCTTCTTGAGCCGTATCTGGCCGTGCAACACTCACAGTGTCACATACTGTATGCAGAAGTATTATTTTAAGCAACACATTAAGTTGACGAAACACTCGAGTCAAATGTAATTAAAAGTCAGATCCACTCGTGTCTTAGACGGGGCTGTGATTTCATAAACCTGTTAATGTACGCATTCAAACACTTTTTCCTTTTACCAGCTGTATTCACCTTGCAGGTGCAGCTATGTGGCTTTTATCCTGGATAAAGTGTTTAAGTCATGGATGTTTAAAGTTCAACTTCTTCATATTTGACTAATATTAAAGTTCACTTTTCATTCAGGAAGTATGACGCTGCGCTGTCAGAACGCTTGTCCATGTTTGAGATTGGTCGAATGCTCCAAATACCACCCCTTTCATGTGAACGCGCACCTAACTAGATAGGACACGGCTGGCTTGAGCGATCCACTTGATAACCAGCGTCGTAGTACAGCTTAGCGAGAGCGCGTATGTTTTGGATTGGGCCAACCGGCTAACTCATACATATCCAGGTTAGGAAAATCCGGCTTCGTAGTACAGGCCTCAGGTGTGTTTCTCTGGCATTTGGATATGCTGAGGTGCTAACATCACAGGTGTGGAGGTTTTGCATGGAAACGAGTCATTTAATAATCAAAACTGAGATGTTTTTCAAAGGTGAAAACATCCTCAGCCTAGAGTAGTGAGGCCTTTATAGTTGTCACCATAAACCAATAATATATGCTCATGCAGTAGAACTGTACTATTATAAGGCTTATTACATTCAAGTTGTGTCTCTCCAAGTAATGTTGGTTTCATATAACAGTTAGACATAAATATTATTGTCTTCTGATTCTCTCATCTCAAACCACTACAAGACTTTTATTGCGAAAGATATATAGGAAGTTGGATCTCTTCTACGGAGAGCACCAATGGACGTTACCTCCTCCAGCCGCCGCCTCTGCTCCTTCTGCTCCTCGATGCGTTTCTGCCTTTCGGCCAACAGTTGACGCTTGTGCTCCTCGTTCTGCTGCTGCTCCTGCTGCTGCCGCCGTATCAGCTCCGAGCGCTCCTTGTTGGCGAGCTGCAGGCGCAGGAAGTCCCGCCGCAGCGTGGACTCGCCAGGGATGTTGATGATGGAACTGCAGGAGGAGGCAGTGTTCCATTACATTTGAATGCAAAGTTTTATTAAAAATCAAATCAAATATTTCAGCATTTCTTTTATTTATTTATATCATTTTAAAAACAAGGTCAAGTTAGACTTATGTAGGTGGGCATTTAGTTTGTATATGTGATATTTGACAGCGCTAATTGGTTAATATGGCATTTTTTACGCAGTGCCACAGTGTTTTAAGTTATATTTATATTGTTTATATTTGGGTTATGTAATCCACCAGTTTAGTTAAATTGATTTTCTCAGTATCAGTATATTTAAAATGCATTTAATAATGCATTTGAACTGAATTCTTTCTTTAATAAATAATTGGCAATGATTTTAAATGTAATAACTAATAATTTCTGAAAATATTTATGTTTTATTTTGAATTTGAGTTTTAAATATGAAAATAATTTTTTTTATATGGCATGAAATATTCTCTGTTCTCTGTCCTCAAGCAGACATTAGAAAAAGCCCATACCCAAATAACTTGATAGTAGTAGAACAAGAGGTAGGAATAGTACTTTGAGGAGTAGTGTTACTTAGTGTTAGTACCTAGGCTCTCCGACGTCCCTCTCTTCATCCTCCTCTTCACTCCCACTGTACTCGTACTCTGTCTCATCTGCAGGAAAAACACACAGTTCAGGTTAGCATGCTCGTGTCCTGCAGCAGCAGTGAGGGTGAGACAGTGGGGTGAGTGCAGCCTCCTCACCTCTCTCCCCCCTCCTCTTCTTGGTGCGGTCGATGTGGTCCTTCAGCTGGATGCGGACCTGCCTCTCGTTGGGCAGCTCTCGGATGAACGGGTGTTTGAGCAGCTGCTCCGTGCTTGGCCTCTGACTGTGGCTCTTTATCAGGCAGCTGTCGATAAAGGACTGGAACTTCTTCGACCTGAACACACATAGAGATTATATCAAATATCAAATCATTTTTTAAATTATTATTATTAATTAACAGCATATACATGGATGGGATAAAATGTTTGACTAGCAGGTCATTTTACTCGTACAGGCAATTAAATCAAATATGTTTTTCAATCAACTGATAGAAGGTGCAGTGTGTGTGTGTGTGTGTGTGTGTGTGTGTGTGTGTGTGTGTGTGTGTGTGTGTGTGTGTGTGTGTGTGTGTGTGTGTGTGTTTTAGTGACTCACCACTTCTTAGACTTGAGTCTGGGGGCAGGATTTCGGGGGATGAGGAAGAGCGCTCTCATTGGATGCATGTCACACAGAGCTGAGGAAGAGAGGAAGAGTCAGTAAAAAAAAAGGACGAGAAAATGAAAGAAAATGAAGGGGAAGAATTAGGACAAAAGGACAGGAGACGGGATGAGACAGGAGGAAAGGAAAGATGACAGCAGAGGAGACAAAATAGGGTAAGAGGAAAGGAAAGGAGGAAAGGGAAAGGAAAGACAGGAAAGGACATAAGAAGAGATACAAATTAGGCAAGAAGAGAGGAAAGGGAAGGATACAATGAATGGAAACGGAAAAAGAAAAGACATGAAGAAAAAAGGTAATAAAGGAAACAAAAAAGAGGAGATGAGAAAAGAAGACAGGAAACAAAAGAACAAGAAATGAGAGGAAGAAGAGGATAACAAAAGAGGTAGATTTAGACTTTTAACAACAGGACACACTGTGCTCTGTGGTAATAGTTTGGTGAGTTTCACACTTACGCGGTGCTCCCTCCGCCATCTCTATAGCTGTGATACCGAGAGACCACAGATCACTCTGCAGAGAGAGAGAGAGAAAACTGAAAACTTTCACATCCTAAAAGCCTGTTACCCACTTCACACATCATCATCTAAATCCACTGGTCAGTGTTCCTGTTAAGTGATACAAATACAGACACAGAAATCCTCCACCTACCACTGCTAGTGTGGATCTTACTGATGACATTACATTGTATTATTGTTAATATTATCCTTTTTTAATTGTCAGGATCAGAATATTTGTTAACTCGGGGGGGATAAAATAATAAAATAATAGTCCTTCAATTATAACTAGAAAAGCCATTCCCTTAAAATATAAGCACAAAACGATAATTCGTTTTTTGTTTACCAAAATAAGGTGTTCCTCAGGGAACAATCCTGGGTTCCCTTATGATTTCAATTGTTTGGCACCAAAATAGTTCCACCAACCATACATTTTTTTAAAATTACATCCAAAAGATTCTACATATACAAAATCTGATTTATTTACGTGTACATCACTTTAATGTTATAGGTGGTAAAGGTGAAACAAATCAATTTTACCTTGAAGTCATATGTGGCCTCAGGGTTCTCGTCACAGGCAATGACCTCAGGCGCCATCCAGTATGGAGTTCCAATAAATGTGTTCCTCCGACCCACCGTGCGATCCAGCTGAGCACTTACACCAAAGTCCACTACAAACACACAGAAACAGTATGAATTGCTAAAATGCCTTTTTTTAACCACAAACTATAGTTTTTGCTTGATACATTTTGCTAAGCTGTATACAAGGTGTGTGTGTGTGTGTGTGTGTGTGTGTGTGTGTGTGTGTGTGTGTGTGTGTGTGTGTGTGTGTGTGTGTGTGTGTGTGTGTGTGTGTGTGTGTGTGTGTGTGTGTGTGTGTGTGTGTGTGTGTGTGTAGGTAGGTAGGTAGGTAGGTAGGTATGTATGTATGTATGTGTGTCTCTTCTCACCTAGTTTAACCTCTGCGTTTTCTGTCAGTAGCACATTCTGTCCTTTGATATCTCTGTGGATGACCTTGTGCTGGTGGAGGTGGGTCAGACCCTGGAGACAGAAACACAAATTAATAAATTCCTTGTATCAGAAGAACACAGAGTTTAATCATCATGTTTGACTGTACTGTGTACTTCATGTTCTTTAATTTGAGCTAAAGAAAGTAGCCATATTCAAGTTATGAAGCAGATTAATCTAATTTAAACACAATAAAAATCAAATGTCTCTATAACTAAATATAAGTTAAAGTTCACTAGTTATTTTATTTCATCGATTGTTGCAAGGTAAGGTGTTCCTCAGGGAACCATCTTGGGCTCTTTGTAATTATTTTTCACCAAAAGAAAATATTTTAATATTTCCCAACCAAAATAGATCCACTAAACATTTACTTCTTAAGATAACAGCAAAAAAAAATCATTTTAAATATCACTTCTCACCCTGAGGATCTCTCTGCAGACGTAGGCAATCCACTCTTCCTTCAAAGAGTTCCCTTTGGTGTTTTTGATCAAATCCGTGATTGAACCAGCGCCACAGAACTCCATCACAAGCTACAAAAACAACAATGTTAATTAGCAGATTATTATAATGGAAATGCAAAAAATAACATTGAATCAAGATATACAAACTTTTTTTAAAGTGGAAAATAGTGTTTTTTATTGCTATTTAATTTTCAGACACATGCACCTACGTACCCAAAGCTGGTCATCCATCCCTGGAGGGTTTTTCTTGACGAACGCTCCATAGTAGGTGGCGATGTTCCTGTGGTGGCTGTACTTCTTTAACATGTTGATCTCTGCTTTAATCTCCTCCTCCTCATCCTAACACACACACACACACACACACACACACACACACACACACACACACACACACACACACACACACACACACACACACACACACACACACACACACACACACACACACACACACACACACACACACACACACACACACACACACACACACACACACACACACACACACACACACACACACACCACACACACACCACACACACACACACACACACACACACACACACACACACACACACACACACACACACACACACACACACACACACACACACACACACACACACACACACACACACACACACACACACACACACACACACAGTGTAACTGAATTGATAATATTAGAAACCTGGAAACAAAATCCGATTAAGGGAGACCCTCAAGGAGAGTTAAGTGAGGACAAAATGCCAAAGCACGTGTGGGCATGTACGGATATAATACAAGTTTGTGTGTGTGTTTGCGTGTGTGTGTGTTACTTACTCCTGTGACGTCCATGACTTTGATGGCAGCAAGCTGACCTGTTTTGACATGACGACCCTGAAAGACACAAAGAAAAAGAGCATAGTCGGAAATATGCTGATAAAATAAAAGTGATTATATTTATGTTTTACTTTTGCAGAATGTTCCACTTGAACGATTTTTAGACTGAAACATCGTACATTTCACTTGAAAAATATCAAATATCTGAAACCTCTGCACAGAGTCTAACTTCTCCTCCTCCAAACTACAGTCACTATCACAGCTGTTAAAGCAAGAAAGTGGAAATGTATCCACCTCACCGACATCCCATCACACACAGACACTCTCATCATTGTAACCTAGCAACAGGGCTGGCAGGTTGTTAGTGAGGGGGGTTGGAAGAAGCAAAGTGGTGCCACTGTGTGTTTGTGCGCGTTTTTGTGCAAGTGTGTGTTAGGAAGCCATGATATTTCACACTCTGGGTCACTCACACACAGGTTTCTCAGTGTTACATCAGACACTGAATGTTTCTGACAGGCTGAAGCCGACTCAGAGTACGGAAAGTCTCTTTTTTTACATCTTTCTGTCTTTGTGTTTTCCAGTTTTATATCAATGACTCCTTCTCTCTTCCCCCTCTCTCTTGCCCCTCTCTCTTCTCCCTCTCTCTCTCTCCCCCCTTTCTCTCTCTCTCTCTCTCTCTCTCTTTGTCAGTCATGTTGCAGCAGCAGCAGTTTGCTGGAACAGGATAAGTGTGAGGTGACTGTTGATCCAAAGCTCCCATCAGGTGTCTCTTAATCTGCCTTTATACTCTTACATCAGTAAAATATATAGAATGACAAAATGATGACACGAAGCACAACAACATTAGTTATGGCTCATTTCTATAACCATTTTTCCTTTCAAATGTATCGCACATTTTAAATGAATTTCCAGAGAAAATAGAAAAGAAAATGCAAATGTATGCCTTTTGTGATCAACTACTATTATGCGATTATTAGGATATGTTCAGGGACAATTTTGGGGAAGAAGAGGACGCAACAAGATGACATAATAAATAAAGCACCAGTCAAAGCTAGCAACAATGTAGAAAACTGGAAATGTATCTTGTGTTTAAACCTTGTGCCATTACTAAAACAAGCTATAGAATATACCTATTTACTCTTTCCTAAGCTTATTGATATATCTAGATACAAACAGGACCAAGTCTTTCCACAATGCTGCAGATTTGGGGGGATTCTCAGTAAAGTTATCATCCAGATAACTCAGTAACGCTGCTTTCTTGGACCTGAGGTTAAGTGTTTCTGTTCCTGCAGGAAAAAGGACAACGATGCACCGCCATGAAGCAATAAAAGAGCAGCCGATAAAACAGCAGGGATGAGCGGAGGAGATACGGCTCTTTGTCTTTATATCTCTCTTCCTGCGACACCGACGGCCGGACAAACAATCTCCCAAAGGTGACACCCCGGTGTGTGAAAGATTATGGTAGAGTATTAAAACCAGAATCACACACACAGAAACACACACAGGGAGAGAGGGAGGGAGGGGGAGATAAAGATAGTGACAGAGCGAGAACAGAGGGAGGTGGCAGGTGATATAAGAACATTTACTGAGGTATTTAAGCGCACATTTTACTTTATCAAAGTAAGTAAAGGATTTGATCACTGCCTTATAATCCCAGCTCATTTTATTCACTACTCAGAGATTCAGATAATTTCCAAATTAAGACTTTTGCAGAAAAACACAAGTTTGTAAAATATATTTTTTTAGCCAACACAATAACAGCTTTGACAATTCATTAACTATCAGATAGAGATAATTTATCGAAATCTATAAAAACTGAACTCATTTTCCTATTTATTTTGAATCATTTCAAAAGTTTTTTTTCGATTTGTTTAGATTTTTCTGCATTGGGTACTTTTTTTTTGTTTAATAAAACTATAATTTTCGAATTACTTGAGAGAAAATTGCAATGCAGGACTTTCCCTGTACTAGAGTATTTTTTACAGTGAAGTAGTACTATAACTGAAGTAAATGATCTGAATACTTCTTGTTAGGTTAGGATGAGGAGGGCAGGAGAAAGAAAACAACAGAGTATTCCTTAGGAGGCGGCCCGAGGCGTAAAAACACTCCCCAGGTCCCGTTCAGACAAGCCTTGCATTCTTCACCTGAACACAAGCCTCGACAAATTAGGACAGAAACAGAAGAAACATACTGTTTGTTTTAAGTTCATAGAAACCATGGTCAGTTATTTTATATATCAAAGAGAATAATGCATATTGCAGCATATTTGTAAAATGTGTAAAATGTGCATTTTTGGGAAAATCTATGTACAATCTTACAAAAGAAGCTAGACTTTGTTATTGATGGACAGTTATTCTTGTTGAAAAATTACGCAAAATAAGCATAAACGTTAAATGTATTTTTGAAATTAGGCAAGACAGTCACTTAAAATGGAAAAATACTAAGCTTTTTAATAAAAAAGTGTTTAGATCTGCAAAAGTTGCATGAGTTTAGATAAGACTTGGAGAAAAAAATACAAGCTAAGCTAAGTCAGTTATTCACTATATCTTAAAGATGGGATTGCAACCTGCAACATATTTAGTAGTGAGTATAACATCTAAACATTTTTAGAAATATTAAAGCATATACTTGGGATGAAGGGAAAAATTCACAAATTCCAAATATGTCAAAGTTGTATCAAGAATTATAGAAAACTGGGTAATTTCTTTGATATATCATTGAGGCAGAAGCAACTTCCAAAAATATTGTGTAAAATACCAGTCTGAAAATTGATGAAAAAACGCACAAAATAACAGTTTCACACGTTATTTCTATACAACTTATATTTGAAATAGGCAATTGTATGATAAAGCAACAGAGAATTGAGCCAGACTAAAAACGTTTTAGTAAAAAGTGTAGCCTTAATAAATGTTACATTTTTGCTAAGTTCAACCTTTGTGTGATTACATTATTGCATTCAGTTGATATACTTTTTTTCATAAATCAAAAAAGACAATCATCTTATTCACTCTGTTTATACCTTTGGAGATTATGTACTTTTATTGGGAATTGTTGATATACGGAAAAACATGAACACACAACTGGCGTAAAAGAAAATTGGATAAACTATTTACGATAAATACCGTGCAGTTTTGTGCTAAAAATCTAATTTCAGTTGAAGAATGAAATCAGGTTTGGTAGGAAAAGTAATGATGAAGTCAAATTGGACCTAAGTAAACAAAAGGCTCTGACGTCAGAACATCTGCCAGCAGTGAGATGAAATGAGATGTGAATGAGGAAGGAGGATTTGAAACCTGATCTACACTTCATAAAAACAACGCCTAAATGCCTCCAGCACAGGAACACATTTAGAGTTTAACAGATAAAAACTAGATAAATATGCTAAATAAACCTAAAAATGACTACATTATTCCAGCATACAGAAGCATAAATTATTTCATTACCACCACACAAATGTCAAAAAATGGTGACCATTTTAACAAACATTTTAATTGCATTACTGTATGCATCTTGCACTGACTGAACCAAAGACACAGTTTAATTTGTTTTACTGTACATAATATATGGTGTTTGACTGTTAGTACCTCAAACTTACTATAGCATTCTCGTGATGATTCAATCAATAGAACAAATTGGATAAACTCCTCTTTGTAAACACTAATTCACAATCTAGGAAGAAATGAGAGACATGAGGTCAAATGAAATAATTGCGATAAAAAAAGATGACAGGTTTCCAGCTGAAATGATGTCTGGATAACAGCGGCGTTAAAATGTACTGCACTAAAATGTATTTTTCATGATGTAATGCTCTTAAAGAACTGACAGTCCTACGCTAAAGACTTGGAGGAATTAAAATGTGTTGCAAGATTCCTAAGGTTAACACATTTAGTTAAAAAACGTAAACACACAGTGAACCACAAACAGATATAATTATGGGTTAAAATTCAACACAATAACGCAAAAGTTAAGTATATACACCCCTACTGAATGTAGATTTGAGCACCTGTCCACTGGTTGTTTGTTTTATATTTTGTGTTACCAGGTAACGTTCTGGCCCATTTCACATTGCATTCCTCTCATTCTTCCTGGTGCATGTGTGTTTTTGTCTGGAGATTGTGTCATACAGTAGGTAAGGGGATTAAGATGGGTGTTGTGTTGTTTTGTTTTCTCCAGACAAATGTTAACTGCTGCAGAGCAGAACGCACATTCTCTGTTACAGAAATCAAACAAGATTTATTTTTAAATGTATTGAAGCTGTAAAGTGTACTTACATATTGATCTGCCACTCCTGCAGCAAAATAAGGGGCTGTTTCATATGAAGTGATATTTATTTCAGTTTGTGTGTTATTATTATTTTAGGTCTTAATTTACCCACCATGCTCTGGGATCGAACCACATTTTGTTCTATCAATCATTTCCCCTTGTTGAGACAGCAGATCAATACTGAACATCCAGCAGACAGAACTGTGTATCTCCTTGTGTATCAGCAGACATGTGTGAGTGTGTTAATTGCTTTCAAAGTGAGAGCACACACACACACACACACACACACACACACACACCCACACACACACACACACACACACAACACCCACACACACACCCACACACCACCACACACACACACCACACACACACACCACACACACACACACCACACACACACACACACACCACACACACACACCCACACACACACCACACACACCAAATAATGGTGACAAATAATACTCTGAGCACACACTGCAAGCCAGAACACAGCAAATTCATGAAATATCCATTAATTTTGAATTAATTCTTGACTTTATACACTTAAACCCCACACAAACAAGTGTTGGGTTTGTTGTAGGTGGAGAATGCATTTTATATGTGCATGTTGCTGTGATATTGTGTTGTGTCCAAAAGTAAACTAACAATGGAAAACTAGAAAGCTCAAGTCTGTCAAAAGGGCAATGCCAAAAAGCATAGCACATTTTAAACACTGCACCTGCTAAAAAAACAAACAGGCTGCAGACATGTGAGAGTGCATGTGGAGAATACAAAAGGAAGATTTTTATCAAAAGCTCAGAGGTTTTATCTGCAGAATAAAGAAAAAGGCTATGCTAATGTTAGCCTTTAGCTTGTAGCTGCTACAAGCTACAAACTTATCCGAAGAAAACCTGATTTTTTTACTTGAAACTGCTTTATTTAGCATTGTTATCTGTTTAAATCAGTGGGTCCAATTGTTTTAGAGGGAAAGAGACTTATATGGATAATCTCCTGGTAAAAAAATATCAGAGAAACAAGCTGAGCTAACGTTAGCGGTAGCCGAGCGACTGGGAGAAACAATGTTTTTTTTCACCTAAATCTGCTTTATTCATCGTAGCAGAAAATTACATATTTTGTGTGTAAACTGTAGCTTGTGTTGTACATTTTCCATAGAAAGAAGCTTTACACATAGGTTGCAGTTTATATTTTAAAGTCTTACCTTGTAGACCTGCCCATAGGTGCCATTTCCAACCAGCTCCACCAGCTCAAAGATACCAGCTGGATCCTGAAAAAAAAACAAGACAAAGTTAGTCAGGAGAAACTGAACACAGGATGGATTTAGGAATTTGTGTATGAGGAATTTGACCTTCTCACACACTCACTGCATACCTGTGGTATTACCCTGTGAAAAGCCGCTCTCTGTATCACCACACTGTCATTATTTCCTCAATAAGTAATCTCTGAGTCCCTCAGAGAAAAATATAATATCTGAGAAATATTTTTTGAATGCCTATTTGTCCTACAACAAAAACAAACAAAACTCAAAATCAAACTGCCACAGGGAAGAAATCCATCATCCAGACAAAATGTACATTTGTGCAGCTTATTATTCATCTTTTGGACAACCACACAAAAAAAAAGAATGGCTTAGGCAACCTCTCTTGCGCGGGTAACAAAAACATATACCTTGTATAAAATAAATACAATTTCACAAAGTGCCTGCAATTATGCTGTTAATATGAAGCTACAGCTTATACTAGCTCATCACAAAGTCTTACTAGTTAACACTGTTTTTACAGGGGAGTCAAGTAACAAGTATTTCTCAGTTATGCCCAACTTCTTAAAACCAACTTTTTGTTGGTTTAGCTAAGCAAAATAGGTACGATTTTGAGATCAGATTTCAGTTTAATAATTAGCAGGATTACAGAAAAAATTACTGGCCTTATATTTATGAAACTTGGTGGGAGATTGTAGTGTGAGCCGATAACTAACCAATGAAACAAATATTTGTCCACTTCCAGATTCATGGCCTTGGCTGAGGTCTGAACTCTCCAAAGTGGCCTTCTAGATTTATATTTAACAGAGTGGTGGCAATCTTCTCCTTTAGTCATGCTCAAGTGTTAGAACGATGAAAACGTTTAAAAAGGATGGAGGTCAGTGTGTATTGATGTGCAGTATTCACACACTGGTTCCAAAGCTATCTTTAACATCTGCAAACAGTAAAATGCAGACTACGACCACAGACAATGGCCAAGGAAAATCCAGATGAAAGCCAGCAGGTGAATTCTAACACACACATGCAGATAAAACACACACACACATAAAATACAAACACACAGTAAATAATCATAGCTTCAGGCTGATTTAAATTCAATAAAACAGATCTTAATCTTTAAACGTTCCTGTATGTATGGTATTAGTGTGTGTGTGTGTGTGTGTGTGTGTGTGTGTGTGTGTGTGTGTGTGTGTTTTTTGTCTATTACAGTGGAGCCTCCTGAGGGGGATTAGTTTAAAAAGCAGCGTTCCTCTTCAGTCAAGGTCAAACAGAAGCACATCTAATCCTGGAAGACCGCACCTCATGCACACACAAACAAGTGTCGTGCACGCACACAAACACCTTTACATGCCTGTTAGAGCCCTTACTAACTGTCGGACCACACAAATAATAAAAACACCACAGAAGAAGAAAGTAAATATATCAGGATCTGAGTCTTATTTAAACACCTGCAAGTTGCCAGCAGTTTAACATGCTAGTGAATTTCACATTGGCATTTAGCACACAGGTGCACAAGTTTACCTTTCACCCAGTATCATGAATATAATGAGTGCAGTCATTAAATACGTTTCACAAGTTTTACATGATCAGAATGATTGTCATACATTTAATAGTTCACTTCCCCAGACAATACAGATCCAGCAAAATCCAAAGCATCCAATGTTTTTTAAATACTTGCTGTCCACAATATCTGTGCAAGGTTAAGGAAAGATATGTTATGTCTGTAAAGTGAAGTGAGGGTGAGGCAACCAAGACACTAAAGGTTAAGATAAAGAAAGAAAATGGCAATAGTTTGTGAACTCGTAAGTTGCTAAATCAAAAAATGTTTAATGACTTATTTCTTTAAATTAAAGCTAAATTCTAACCTGACCCTCTTTTGCCTCATTTCCACTTCATGGTTCGATTCGACTCACTTTTGCACTTGCCACAACATCTAACATTTGTTGGATTTGGTAGCAGATACTTTTCTCTATTTTGTCTTCCACAGCAGATAGTACGTCCTGCGAGACCTTGCTAAATAATTTCAGAGGCAGCCCAAACAGGGATTGTCTGTACGCTGTACAGTGTTGTTTTTGAGGTAATGAGGATAAATGTTAAAATAATGATGGAATTTTGTGTGGTTTATCTTTATTCTTCTGCAGCAGTTGTTGTATTCAGTGGAGAAGCCTAACAGACAGTTTGGCTGTAAGGGCAGATACAAATTGTTTTATTTATGTGCATTTCAACATCAGTGGTTCTAAACATTTGGTGTGTTTACAACCTGACCACTCATCCTCCTGACCTGGCCAACACTACAAAACAAGTCCCAGGGTGTAAATTATAAGGAGAATAATAAAAAGCAGTACTTTTCCATCCTGAATTAATTGCTTTTGTCTAAATAATGGAAAAGGACATAGTGTATGAAAGACATGACCTCTGCAAAGAATGTAAAGCCTAGAAATAAAACTTCAGACCTATTGTGCATGAGAAAGACTTTCTTTGAAGGAGGTACATAACTAAGGAAGGTGAACTTTAGAGGAGATCATTCTGGGACATGAAACAGGAAGCATGTGTGTGATTGTGACAGGCTTTGCGTCACACTTAAATGTTTCCCCCCAGCTCTCTCTGATCCGTCCTCCGTGACCTAATTTCTAGTCATCATGCCACAGAGGGAAGTGAGCAGGATTCCTCTTTTTATATGAGAATGTAGAACTGTCTGTCTGTCTAGGTTTCTTTATCAGTTCCAATGTATGTGTGTGTGTGTGTGTGGTGTGGTGTGTGGTGTGTGTGGTGTGTGTGTGGGTGTGTGTGTGTGTGTGTGTGTGTGTGTGTGTGTGTGTGTGTGTGTCTGTGTGTCTGTGTGTGTGTGTGTGTCAGTAAAACACACACACACACAGACAAGCAGTCCCACCCGCCACCCGGTCGATCATGTCCAGACTTGAGTGTTGCTCTGCAGGTACAGCTTTGTTGCATAAGCAGAGAAAAGAAAGAGGAGCTGTGCAGAATCATACACACATATTCACATATACAGTATTTGGTTAATCTTGAGCTAAAAATCAAAATAAGAAATTGTCACACACACACACACACACATTCCTACACTCTGCACAGAGCCACAAACAGCCACTGACGCTGCTGTCGCCACAACATCACGAAATGGCGGAACTCGCTGCTGTTGCGGTTATCATCGCTATTATGCACGGTGTGTGTGTGTGTGTGTGTGTGTGTGTGTGTGTGTGTGTGTGTGTGTGTGTGTGTGTGTGTGTGTGACGGAGAGGGAGAGAAATCGCGTGCATGTCCGTGCATCTGTATGCCTGTCTCGAGTGTGTGTGTGATCTGTCACTGAGCAGGCAGCTTAACATCTGCCCCACAGACACAGCGGCCTCTATTATGCTGTCTGACGCACGCGCACGCGTGTTTGTGCACACGCACGCGCACAGCAGCAGCAGCTCAGGGCCTCATCACATCACGTCCCAATTGTTAAGAAAAAAACAACAAACAACAACAGGACGGTCGGTGTGAGGCCTCGAGATCTATGCTATTTCCTCAATCGCTGCAGGGCGACGCGTAGATAAGGGTGATGATGGAGAAGGGAGGAAAGACTTGGAGGTGGATGGGGGGGGGACAGGTGCTCAAAAGCCTCACACGCACGCTCACACATACACGCCACATGCACGCTCACACAGGAAGACATTTACCCGGAGTGCAGACAGGTCTATCTCGTCCAGACTCCGCGCAGGGGAGTCGCTCGCCATGGTGCTCTCGGTAGATCTCAAGATGGAAGCTTCCTCAACGACCATCGACCGGGAGGTACAGAGCGGCGGGGGAAACACACACTAACACTCCTCTAAAATAAGGAATAAATCCCCCAACCCACCCCCAGAATAATCCTCGTTCAGGCGATGCTTTCTTCGGGGGAAACGCGGCTCCAGGTGCTACATGCTGCTCGGTGCGGGGAATCCGGTATGGAAAACCAACAGTGCCATAAAACGCCACTATTTTTCTTCCCCGGTGCTACATACCTCCACCTCCACACCCAATGTGGACAGGACAGGAGATAAATTGGGGAGGGGGGGGGGACGACACACGCGCACGCGCACACAGAGATAGAGGGAGCACAGCAGCAGCAGAGGTGCGGAGAGAGCGAGCACACACACCGTCAGTCCGTCCGTGCGTCTGTGAAGCGGAACAGCAGCGCGCTCCCGGGAGGGGCCTGAAGGAGGCTGCGCTACAGACAGGGACGCCCACAATGACACACACACACACACACACAAACACACACACACACACACACACACACGCACACGCACACGCACACACACACACACACACACACACTCTGACGCACCGTGACACGCACACACACACGCACACAACTTGAAGTAGGCACATTTACACAGCGGTCTGCTCCTGGCCGTATGGCAGCTTATTAAAGACAAAACTAAGTGGTTATCCATCAGAGCTGCAGGTCACAGTCTCATGAATTAACTGTCAGGAGGGGGCACCAACCGGCCGCCCCCCCCATGGGACATTTTCACACTTCATTTATATCACATTACAGTAACATTTAAGTCTTGCCGATAGTGCCATGTGAGGAGCATCTCATTTTCTATTATTTTGTATATTACTAACGACCGTTAAATAAAATGTAAAAAGAGGCTTTTAACAGTATATGTAATTGTTACCAGATGGTTTGTAAACAACATTAATCTTTGCTCTTTTTGTAAAACACTTGATTTATTTGTCAGATTATTTTAAATATTACAAATGAGTTCAAAACAACACAAATAAAACGATAACAGAACAGTAAACAAAATAGACATGTACAATTTCTCAAACTATTTAAGTAAACAACATAAATACAAAAATATATATATTTTGTGATCACTTTATTAATTTTTCCAATTCAGCAAAACTTATCAACAGTAAATGCAAAATGTAAAACATTTATTTTGTTTCTGTACTATGTTGTATCTGTAACTACAAGACACTGTTGCACATTGAAGGCACATCCCACTTTTAGATCCATTATCCAATTGATTTAAAACCCTGTCCCAGTTATTATCCAATGAGAATTGCACACCTGTTCCAGCTATATACAGTTTGTGCATCTGTGTCCTCCTTGACTCTGATGAAGACAGTATTAAAACATTAGTGTTTGCATGAATTCTGCAGATCTATCAGTGTGATACAGTTCCACTTTTCCTTTGGAATATATATTTTATATTTGGATTTACGTTTTACCTGTACCATTTTTGTTGAAAAACAGCTTTAACATGCAGCAGACTGAATATTTTATCCAGTTTAAAGAGCATTTAGGGATCCTGGAAATACATTTAGAACAGCAATCAGTGTTAAAATATGCTTTGGGCTTTTCATATATCACCTGGAATTTAAGTTCTGCAAAATCTGATGCTTTGCTCCATGACTATAATGTTGCACACAACAAAAAACCCACACCTTAACAGTCACACAGAAAAGGTTCCTCTTTCCATTTCAAGCCCAACCTCTTATGCTGTTTTTCCTCTTCAGCACTTCTCCAGGAACTACACCTGCCCTTTTAACCTGTAGGTATAACTGCACCTTCAATCAGTGCATGTTGAGGTTTCAGAGCGTGCAGGGACACATTTGCAGATGCGTGCTTTAAAACACAGTCCTGATTTCACACGCCTCTGCAGCCACTGGCAGACTCTCTGCACCTGAGATTATTCTGCAGCACACACCCAGAATCTGTTTTAAGGTTCATTCATATCTGTGGACAAACGAACACATGGGACGGCCATTTTTTTTTTTTTCCCAGACTTGTCTCTTTTTTCTTTTATGGAGATATTGTTCGATATTATTTGTATGAACTGATTGACAATCAGTGTGTACATGTATAATCTGGAAAAGTAGATCCCCAAAATATTTTAAAACATTTATAAAATTAATACATTTATTTATTTAATAATAAGTGCCTGTGTAAATGATAAAGATATTCACAAATGACTTTCATTTACTTTCCAGGTAAACTGGGTGAGTAATTGATGAATAAATGTTCATTTGTAATGTCTGCTTACAAAGTTAGTCACAACATTTCCGAGAATAAGTTCTGTTTCTGTCTGTGCATGCTCTTAAATCTCCACATACTGTACACCTGAATCACTGTGTGGAATAACAAAATGTCCTACTCAACGAGCAAATAACTAATTAATATTATGAGTGCGAGCGAGGTCACGTTCCCTTTTACAATACTTACCGACAATAAGTTCTCAGGACACACCCTCTTCAGTTATGTCATGCACACACACACACACACACACACACACACACACACACACACACACACCACACACACACACACACACACACACACACACACACACACACACACACACACACACACACACACACACACACACACACACACACACACACACACACACACACACACACACACACACACACACACACACACACACACTAAAAGTAACTCCTCTGTCAACATCAAAAGCTTCACACAGATTTGCATTGCATTGCACTGTAAGGTGGTTCATTTTAATGTCTCCAGATCAGTGGGCTTTTGGGTGGGTTCACATATTTCAAATGCAAGTATGATTGCAAGATTTGAGGTTACAGTAGATTGACCTTGATTGATTGATTGATTGATTGATAAATGTATTTCGAACAAGTAAAATAAATAATTACAAAACAAAAAATGTTGCAGTGCAGTCATGTAAGAGAAAACAAAACAAAGTGACATTTACAACAACAACAGCATTAGCAACATAAACCTTCCCACATCTAGTGACCTTAAAGATGAAAGTGACTGGATAATTGCAAAAAGGACTCAGATTGTGTTTCTTTGGCTCCATCATGTGGTGTAATGAGAGTTTCCTGCAGGGGGAGGAAGTCGGGACAAAGGAGGTTTTCTGAGGATAAAGTTATTTTTTATTTGCATCAGTGACATGTTTTTATTTAGAAGCACAGGGACAAAGAGCAGAGGGAGAAATATTCAGAGAAGAGGAGGGGAGTGATACAAATGTTTCATGCTCTGAAATAATCCTGTAGTGACTTTTATCTTGGTCTGATGCAAGCTCCTGATTATATATATAATGGTTCAATTTTATGATTCTGCTTCAGCCAATGCCCCCTCTTTCTAGCTTAGAGTGGTTCGTAGTTTAAGCCTCAAAATAATGACACTACCTATTCGTCAGAAAATATCCTAACAAATTAAATACAATTATTATAGCACTTTTGAGTGATTTTTATTTGATGTTTGTGTCTGCAATCATTTTATTATTTTGTGTTTTTCGAACCAGTAATTTTTCAGTTTTCTGTTTATGGTCTGGATTAAAATAAACGAAATGTTAAAACGTTATCTTAAATAAACAAATGCTAAAATATATGAAACACAATATATATAAATCACTTATTTGACTTAATACTGCTTATTCATTTCTGGTAGTTTAATCATAATAGACAAATTCATTTAAATAACATTATGTTCTTCTTTCTATACCAGACTACTTGTTTTTTGAGCAAATTATGAACCTGTAAAGTATTTACTGATTAATATATTTGGTTTACATAACATTTCACTATATGAGGTCTATAAATAACACCCTAAAAGTGCTGATAATAAATCATATACAAAGCGGAATTGTTGTTTGTGTACGCGGATTATCATGTTTATAACAATTTTGTATAACTACCACCACAAGGACACATTTTGAATGAAAAACTGAAGAATATTTTATTATGACTTATTACATAATTTATTTATTCCATCATTTCACAAAAAGCAACACTTGACTTGATACTGCAGATCATTCCGGGGGTCGCAACAAGAGCACAAGAGTCTGTGCAAATAGTGCAATTTCATAGAGACACAGTGATTAAAAGCCAGACAGAGAAGACACAGGAGAGCGTTTCTCAACCTCAATAACACCAGGTGCTCCTGATCACTAATAAATAACCAAACCCACCTTTGTGAATTCGGTGTTTGCTTGATTTTAGACCTTTTCTTTTAGATGGTTGTTATTGCACATAATCGCAAACTTTTAACATATGGATTGCCTTTTTAAGACAATTTTACTTGGCTGAATTGTGGGGTAACTGAACATTTTCGTGATTTTTATCACAAAGATGTAAAACATGCACTGGAGCAGGAGGTAGAAACACAGGGAGGTAGAGAAAAAGATTAAAAAGCACATTTAACGTCCCATTATCCATAAATATTAACAGTAGAGAGGTGTATCTGGAGGACACACAGCTTGAAGACAGGCACACTGTTAGCATCGATAATGTCCATGGCTTTAAAGGCGACCATTGCAGGGTTCATGCGTTTTATCTGTAATGTTGAATGGCAACGAGCTGCTGTCATGCTGTCAACTACAAGTATCATCCAGTTTGTTTTTTGGGTCAAATATATATAAAAAACAGCATCATGCAGATCACGAGGAAGACACTGAGAAACATTCGTGCTGCATTCAAGACATTTCAGAAATATAGAAATCCATAGACAGCATTTTGAAAAATCTGATCAATAGTTGCAACATAGAGTTTACAGTGGGAAGGCTATCGTTTGTATCTTTAAAAAAACTATCAAAGTTAAACTTCAATTAGCTTGATATAACCACAAAAACCTGCAAAAGCAGATGTTTTGGCCACAAGGGAGCAGCAGAAACTCAAGGTGCCAAAGCTGTTGATAACATTTGCACTTACTGGAGAATGCGAAAACTTAACCAAACAAACAAATGTTTCCTGTTGACTAAAGTTGGTTGTTGCTTATGTATTCCCATGTTCTGACATCAAATGAAACGCAGCATCGTAGTAAACTTATCATGCATGAATATATGGGTTATGTCGTTTTAAAAAGGAACCATAGCACTTTATAGACTTCTGCAATTTCCTGGCAGTTTATTGGAAAGCAAAAAAAGAGAAAACACATTTCCCCTTTACAGTTCTTTCCAGTAAACCGATCAGGAAATTACAGACTGGTGAAATAAAAAGCTACAAACAGCATAAAAACAGGTCACTTAAGGCTTAACGTAGATCCACAGTATGAGGAATGTAAAATAAAGGATGTTCTGTTTCAACATCAGGCAACTGTCTTTCATCTTTGGCACTTTGGACATAAATATTAAAAGCAAGTCTTCAGAAATATGAGACAAAATGGCGACATCCGGCTTCTTCATTAATAATAATAATAATAATAATAGCTTGGATTTATATAGCGCCTTTCATGAGACCCAAGGTCGCTTTACAAAGAAGAACAGCAGTAGGAACAAACATAACAAAACAAAAGGCAGTCAGACAAACAGTCAGACAGACAAAACGACAAATAGATTAGGGGCCAAAGGACTTAGCAAACAGATGGGACTTGAGGGCCCTTTTGAAGGCGTCAAGCGTGGGGATGTTGCGGATCTCTGCAGGGAGAGCGTTCCAGAGGGTGGGGGCTGCCACACTGAAGGCTCTGTCCCGAAGGTTCGCAGGTTGGTGCGGGAGGTGGTAAGCAGGCCAGAGTCTGAAGACCGCAGGTTCCGGGGTGGGGCATGTGGGCGAAGAAGGTCCGATAGGTACTGGGGGGCATGGGCATGGAGGGACATGTATGTGAGGAGGAGGACTTTGTAGGATATGTGGGACTGACCGGCAGCCAGTGGAGGTGGATGAGGGTGGGAGTGATGTGCTGCCACGGCTTTGTATGTTTGAGTACCCTGGCAGCACAGTTTTTAACATACCTGAGCCTGACCAGGGTTTTGTTGGGGACCCCAAACAGGACACCATTGCAGTAGTCCAAGCGGGAGGTAACAAACGCATGGACTAGGGTTTCTGCAACCGACTCCGAGAGTGACGGTCAGAGTCTGGCAATGTTCCTTAGATGGAAAAAGGCCAATTTGGTAACAGACTTGACGTAATGTAAATGGTGAACAGGAGGGGGCCAAGCACAGAGCCCTGGGGTACACCGTGATTGACTGGGGCCGGGGGTGAATTTCAGCCATTGATGGTTACAAACTGTTCCCTGTTATGGAGGTAGGATGTGAACCAGGACAGGGCTGTGCCAGTGACACCTAGGAGGTCAGATAGGCGGGTGAGGAGGATGGTGTGGGAGATGGTGTCAAACGCTGCAGAGAGGTCCAGGAGGATGAGGATGCTGAGGCGGCCAGAGTCAGCAGCAATGAGGAGATCGTTGGTGATCTTGATGAGGGCGGTCTCAGTGCTGTGTTGAAGTCTGAAGACGGATTGGAAGGGCTCATAGAGCTCATGGTTGGACATGTACAGATGGAGTTGGCCGGCGACCACTCTTTCCAGAGTTTTACTTAGGAAGGGAAGGTCGGAGATCGGCCGGTGGTTGTGGAGGTCGTCGGGGTCCAGGCCAGGTTTTTTGAGGATGGGGGTGACTGAGGCCATTTTGAAGCTGGTGGGGACTATACCAGGAGCCAGAGAAGCATTGATGATGACCACCATGTAAGGACAGAGGGTGGGTAGGCAGTCCTTGACCAGGGCTGTGGGCAAGGGGTCCAGGGAGCAGGTGGAGGTGGAGGTCTTGGCCGAGCTGACCAGTTTGGCCAGTTGGAGAGCATCCACAGGGGAGAAGGAGGAGAGGTTGCAATGGGAGAGGCGCGGCGCTGGGGGTGCGTTGCCAGGTGGCTGAGGTGCAGGTAGTTAAAGTTATTTTAGTGTCTTTTGCCAGTCCTACACGTTGCATAGTGTTGTTGGAGAAAGAAGGAGCGAAACGTTTAAAAAAGGAGATAAAGTGATATTCTGATGGTGAGGATCCATTTTTACCTTTCTTCTTCTTCTATATTCTGTAAACTTTAGTCCAGGGACTGCAGAGTCTTCTGGTCCACTTCTTGCTGTGTTTGCATGTAAATGTGTGTTTTATAACAATAATGTATTATTTATGCATATGAGTTCTGAAAGTCTCTGCATTTGTTTTTTAAGTGTAATGTAATTCATGTGCATTCAGTGGCACTGCTGGTACTGAGGCTCTGTCCACAACCACAGCTAACGCCATTTTGGAAGTCATTGCTGGCGGCAAACAGAAAAACTAAAAAAATATAGATTTACTATTTTCCTTAATAAAGACAACATTTTTTAACTGTTGTTCAAGTGTTACAGGTAGATCTTCTCTAGGATCAGCAGCTGTGACCCTGAACATCTTAAAAGGAAAACTTTGCTTTATTACAACTTGGAGTATATTTGTATTATTGGTCCCCTTGGAATAATATCTTAGATTGTGGCTCCACCCGAAAATAGTAGTTCCAACAGGGAAAGAAACACCAACTTGGGGCTTACAGGCCAAAGTTAATATTTAAATTAATTAGAAAAATATACAAATTCAATTGCTGTTTCTGCTGTTATATTTGTTGTACAATTTTGCATTTAAAACTAAAATAAAAGACGATTTTGGCACCGCTGACTTAAAAAATATTAAAACAGTTTATCCAGATTATCTTAAACCACTATTTAGAGATGAAGTCAGTCTTTAAAAAGTGATGGATGTTTATAATCGAGATTACAGGATTTTAGTTTGACGTTTTTACCTTCATTTACTTGTCCAAAGTTTGTTTATTATCTGCTTGATCATCTTACCACTTACATTAATAATAAATAACAATTACAACCCAAATAAAAAAAAGGATATCAAACATCTGCTTATAATAACTACTTATAAGGCTTTTATCTCTCTTGCCTGCTATACAAATAACTTTTGGGCTTAAACAAAACAAAAAAGCAGTTTTCTGCCACTTTGACCTCCAAAATGTCACCAGAGTGTGTTTTGATCCACCTGAAGGCCTTACTCTTGCTGAGTGTGAACACATGACCGTATAGGCTGGGGTTCTTCCTCCTCAGGTCCACACCTCCATGGGCATCATGGCCTCCTTGGACCCGATGGGAGGAAGCAGGTTCTCCTCACACAGGAAGTCGAGAGGAAACTGGACCAGGAAGCCGCGGATCTTCTTCAGCTTCTCCCGAGCCCGCACCGGGTCCTCGGTGCACAGACCGGGCACGGCCAGGAAGCCCTCCAGATCCAGAATGTTCCGCACGTCAGAGGACGGTAGGCTGCGGAACACCTGGAGAAGAGAAGGAGGAACAAAACCTCAAAATTATTCAATTCTGACAATACAGTACATTCCTGACAACAAATCTGTTTTTTAAACAATGTTGGACTTATACATTTTGTACATTTATTATAACATTATTTTGTTCTGAAAAACAGATGAACCTTGCTGTTAGTAAATAATACTTTTTTTTTAAATAACAAAAACATTGAAATACAAAATAGAGTAAAATTTGGGAAATGGAAAATAAATAAAATAAATAAAAAAGGTGGTGATGGGGAGTTGTAATAATGCCTTGAGTCAAAAACACACACAATAATCAAATAGATATTTTTTAAGCACAAATTGTTCCCCTAGAGTAGACAGTATTGTTCCTAAGGCACAAGTGTTCACATTCAAATCCTTCATTTAGTAAAAACAGATATAAAAATAGAAGTAAAACATAAATATGATAAAGAATCCGACCCACCTTCTGGTAGACGGTGGCGTTGCGAGCGGAGGTGGCCGTCCACACCTCTTTGAAGAACTTCTCGCTGATGGGGTCCGACACGTCGATGGAGGGGTCCGTGTTGGCGCCCAAAATCATCCTGACAGAGAGACAGAGGCACAGAAAAAAATGAAGGAAACGCTGAGATACTGCTGGATATCTGGCAACAAGCAGACACGATGAGGAAATAACATTGCTACTTAAACATTTAAATGTAATAATAATTAAACAAATTAATGAAAACATGAATAAAGACATTTAAAAAGCAGGATTCAGGATGTTTTCAGTACCTGAAGCACTCGAGGCGCAGCTGCAGGGCGTATTTTCCCGCCTGGTACTCCTGCCCGTCCATCACCGACGGCACCATCTCCGAGTCCTCCACGATCACCGCCACCTCGCTGTCCCTCTTTCCCAGCATGCTCCTGTCGTTGATGTTTGCAGAACCTGCAGAAACACAAAGAGAGAAAACAGGGTAGATCACAGAGTCCTCCAGCAGGTGGCGCTGCTGCACCTCATCTCAGACCACAGGGTGAAGTTCATACAAAAATACAGGAAATGTATAATACTGCATCATTATTTTCTGTGGGAAAAAAACTTTTTCACTTATAATATAGAAAAAAAGTGCCTGTACATTAAAAACATTGTTTAAAATCTAAATGTATTACTCTAAAATGGGTCGACACTTATAAAATTAAAAGGCATGAACATTAATGATTCTTCATTATATTTTATAGGTATGTTTAATGGTATCGAAGTTTGTACCAGAGCAGGACCAATTATTATTGATTTTCACATACTATATTTCCACATAATATTATAAAATGTGTGAGATTTGTAACTTCTCAAGGTTTATTAAATGTTCTAAAGTCGTAGTGTGAATATCTTTCTTAACATTGTTTATTTTATTTTGTCCCTGCCTCGTACTGGCATCTTTGTGGGAGGAGATACAAAAAAAAGGTTCAGCTTAAATTAGTTTTACCTCTCAAGGCCTTTGAAAAAATGATCTTTAATCAAACAATCTGAGAAGTGAAAGTAATTCAAAAACATGCAACAAGTAAAAAGGTCACAAGCCAAAAAGACCTAACCAGCAAAACTATTTTTTGTACCATCTTGTGGTTCCTTTTATCTGCAGCTTTCAATCTCCATTACTGAATATTTTTAGCACGAGTGGCGCCGCGGAAACTGAAACCTGTCCCAGATTTTTTGCTACTTCCTGTTTTTAACATTTATTTTGTCATTTGTCTTCTGTGCCTCCTCTAAAATAACAAGATGTCCATGTATATGTCCCTCTGCAGCTCCTGTTTCCCTCTCCTCTATTATACATGTACAGTGCCGTGTCTGGGGAATATTCCTTACACCTGTCATCTTTTAATCTTGTAATGGAGAAATGTAAGAAGCAGCTGAAGGTTTGGGAGAAATACCGATGATGACGGTGTTGTCGTCTGCGATGAGCATCTTGCTGTGGACGTAGATGAGCTCCGTGACCAGCTTCCCCTCCAGCTCAGCGTGAGTCCTCAGACCAGCGATGGAGATGTAGTTCATCCACTGGTCTCCCACTGCAAACACACACACACAGTTCTCAAAAAGTTGGCTTACAAATTATATTTTATTTCATTTTAACACTCAATTTAGGGCATAATGAATTGTCAAAGCTGCAAAAAATAAGGATATTAGACATTTTATAAAAAATATCAATAAACAAATAAATGAATAATACATCATTATTATATCATGATAATAAAACAAATGTAACACAACAAATACACATATTTATTATATATTGCAATTCTCAATGGGTATGTAAGAATGTTTTAAAGATTTAAGTTTAAAATGAATAGCGATATAACATTGATAATCCATAATTCCTAAAATAATGGTAGCATAAAACATTTAAATAAACAAAATATTATATTCAATATTCCATCTGGTATGTGACATTATTTAAACGTCTAAATAAAAAAATCCTTAAATAATACTTCTAAAACAAGTTAAATACAATCTGAAAAATGTAATTTTATATTCAATATTTCCATCCAATACATTGAGGATCATATTTAATTAGGCGGTTTATTCACTGATAGCTATTTATTGTAAGGAAATAAAAGAGGAGCTGGATGTTTTGCCTTTTTTAAAACAGCTGCACTGTACATACAGCCTGTACAACATGGACCAATCAGCTGCATTGTACATACAGCCTGTACAACATGGACCAATCAGCTGTGAGAGTGAACAGGAAGTTACTTACTCTCTTTGTGCAGCTGTGAAATGATGGAGTGCTCTCCTCGGTTCATCGTCCTGCAGACAGAGAGGAGCATGAGATCCACATTCCTCACTACACACACCTGAGTGTGTCACTGTGTTTGCATAGGGAGTGTTTACCCAGGATTGCAGACAATGAATGGCAAGCACACGCACACACACACACACACACACACACACACACACACACACACACACACACACACACACACACACACACACACACACACACACACACACACACACACACACACACACACACACACACACACACACACACACACACACACACACACACACACACACACACACACACACACACACACACACACACACACACACACACACACACACACACACACACACACACACACACACACACACACACACACACACACACAGAGTTACCAGCACTGTGGTTAAAGAGTCAAAGTGTGGCTATAATCTCTTTAACCGGGATTTAACCCTCATCAAGGTAAACTCAGGCAACAGGTGGGTTAGTGGCAGCTGCATTATCTGTCTTACACACTCATTCACACTCACACACCTGTAGTTGAAGTGCATGATGGCCTGGAGAGCGCTGCCTCCTCCGGTGCTGATGTCTCCCTCGAAGCCAGGCAGCAGAGGCGTCACCAGGTACACTCTGTACTTTTTACCCTCCCTGAAACAGTTGACAGCACACACAGAGAGGGAGACATTTTAAATATACTGATGTGGTTTATTTATGAAACATGTATCCAGAAGCTGGATGGAACCAACAACAACTGATCAGATGCTAATTTACGATTATAATAGCAGATCAGTGTTTTTAAAATGTTTACAAAGTTGCAGCTTACATTTTGTTGGATTGGTGAGCTGGAAAATCTAAAATGCTGCTCAAAGTACTGTGTACTGAGTCATGTTAGGACAGGAGGACAAGATCATGACATACTGCCAAAGGAAACATATACACACTGTGTATAGTGTCAGTGAAGGTAACATGTTTACAAATGTAAGATTCAATGTTTGAGTTGGAAGCCGTCATTATTAACAGTGTCTTTCATTTAGATCTTAAAGAAGTTTAACCGGGTACTCAACAGATTTTAACATTGAAAAAAGGAGTTTGGTGTATAAAATATGTGTTGATAACACCTTTTAAACAAACACATTTTTGGCATTTTAACAGTGCAACATCTTGTTACTGACTGATACCATCTGTGGCTGATGTGATGTATTAGTCTGGCTCAAATCTCCTTCTGTCAAGAGTATTTTATGAGGCCGTTTGGGATGTTTAGGAGGCAGACTCTTCAGTTTATCTGAGCTGAGCATTAAAATATAATGAGACTAAATAAATACTGTGAACTTTAACAGTTTTACAACCCAAGAGACGAAAATCCTGAGAAAGGAGTGAATAAAAGCAGAAAGTCATTTAATTCTCCCCAAAAGGGAGTTGGTTTCAACACTTTAAGTGTTTTCCATTAAATTAGATTACACCGAGAAAAACATTTATAAAAGCCACCCTGGATTGTTTATTCAACCAAAGTTTCAGGAAGAAATCAGGTCAGGTTTGTGTTTTCCTGCGTTTTGTGCAGGATGTGTATGCTCTGATAAGCTTTGACATCAAAAATAAACTGATGCTTGAATAGAAAATATTCAAACATATGAAATTAAATCAGTTAATCAATGTTGATCAATCATTAGTTTTCTGTTAAGTACACAGCAACATATGTGTGTGTGTGAGTGCGTGTTCGTGACAACATGCGACTATCATTTACAGGAGACATAATATAGACAGAGCCATACAGAAGTTTACAAAGTGTGTGTTAATTACATTTAATATCTTTTTTTGTGTGTGTGTGTGTGTGTGTGTGTGTGTGTGTGTGTGTGTGTGTGTGTGTGTGTGTGTGTGTGTGTGTGTGTGTGTGTGTGTGTGTGTGTGTGTGTGTGTGTGTGTGTGTGTGTGTGTGTGTGTTACCTGAATGCTTGGATGATGCGCTGTGCAATAGCGTCTCCTATCTTGTTGAACACGTGTCTGTTGTCTGAACAGCTGATGAAGAACTGATTCTGAAAAACAAGCAAAAAAACACACATCTATTAACAAACAAGAACTTACCTTTCTATATGTGCTCAAAACACATTAATATGCAGCAAAATTGAAAAAAATGCATCAAGTTTGACAGACTGAAGTACATTTTTCCATTGCTTTTCTGAATTTTAAATGTATCGTTTGTATGAAATGTAGAAATTGACTTGGTGTCAGAAGTTAAGCAGCTTAGATATTTTGTTTACATTGTAACAGAAAGTACCTCTATGTAAATGAAGTGCTGGCTGTTCAGGATGACTTGCACGTACGCGTTGTGGATGGACTCCTCGTGGTTCTTGATGCCAGCCGACCAATCAGAGGCTGAGCGTAGGATCTGAGGGTAGTCGGGAAATACAAAAACATATGTTCTGCCATCTCTGGAGCATGTGCAATATTTAATCATTGGAGGAAGAAGTAATAGGATCTGTGTTTTTAGTGAACATTATTTTGTTTACAAAATGTTTAACTTTTTCTTTGCTAAGAGGAAAGTTGGATTGAGTTTCTTTTTAGACAAAATGTTTGTGTTTGACCCTGTACTATTGCATATTGGATTTGGTGTGCATACTGACAACTTTGAGGATTTTGTCATGTAACCAGTGAAGACAAATTGCTCACTAAAACAAACTTACACTACATTTAGCAGATGCTTACACTACATTTAGCAGATGCTTTTATCCAAAGAAACTTCCAAAGCTTCCCTACAATGTAGTATAGAACTGAAACACAGTCAAGGTCAACTTTAATCAAGTGATATAAACAGCTAAAATCTCCAGGTGGAACTCTTCCTCACCTGCACTTTAGAGGGGATGCAGTTGGGTACTTGGTAGCGCTGCTCTTCGGCGGTGGTGTGAGATTTGGGCAGCAGATACGGGAACGACAGAGAGCGATACTTCGGCTTCATAATCTGCCAGAGAAACAGAGGAAAGAGTAAAACCCAGGAAATGAAATGCATCCACACACCGCAAAACAACTTGAGTTTAAGTGCTCCTGTTCTATTTGTACGTACTTAATTTAGGTAATATGTAGGCAAATGGAGAAAAAATATTTTGATGCAAATAAGCCTCAATGCAAATAGAGTCCAATTTAAAAAGATCAGCTTTTATCACTGCATTTAGTTAAATTATAGGTGACTGAGAGACTGGGACATTAAAATTCAAAATGTACACATACATATTGCAATCCATTCTTTGTGAATGTATTCCTGAGCATGATGGGACGACATCAGCGTGACCTCTGACCTTGGTGAAGTTCCAGCGCTGGATGAAGTGTCGGGCCACGTCTCGAGCTGCTTTCCCGTGGACCACTGAGGAGATGTCGTGCCAAGGCATTCTGGGAGTTGTGTGTCTGTCTATGAAGTCTGAAACAGCAGAAACGGATGTGAGGAGGACATTTCTGTAGTTTTAATGTCAGAAATGTGAGGTTGATGATGTCCTCACCATCGAAAGGTTTTTCCAGCTGAATCCAGTCCCTGTACACGAAGTTGCAGTAGTCTTTTCCGTGCCAGAAGCGCGTGTTTCCGAATAACTCCCCGACGCCCGTGTGCAGACTGCGCTGCGAGCTGCTTACTGAAACACACACATTACATTTTCAGTTATTTATCAGCAGAAATCTCTTTAAATAAATGAGCCTACTCAAAGTTTTAGTTCCTCTTAAAGTTCCTGCTGTAAGTGCAACTTACTAAGGGGAACATCAGAGGTAAACTGAAAATATAACTAAAATATAGCACTTTAGATTGCAGTATCTACTGTCAATAGTGTTAATATTGATATTTCATCAGAATTTATTTCAATGTTACAGATTTTAAAACAATATTTGAGTATAAAATAGTCTAAGTGATGAGTTAATAAAAGATATTTCAAAAAAATTATAATAATCTCAGTAAATGACCCTGGAAATGTATTCGCAATAAAGCCTCAAATGTAAACAACATGCTTTGGGAGTTTTAAGTGTGGAACGAATATTAATAACAAAAGCATGAAATCAATCGTTTCTGATGTGGATTTCTGGTGCATTTTTATCCTCATTCGAGGTTAAACTTGGACAAAAATGATGGTCATATTCTTTATTTACACTTAATTGATCAACTAACAAGCATTGTGTTTGTGTGGAAAATGCTTCGACAGCACATTAACAAATGTTAAAACAGCAACTGGAGAGAAGAGAGGACAGAGACATACACTCTACTGAAATTACACACATTTGACTCACCTTAAATCAATAACATAAATGATTTAAGTAACTTCAGTCAAAGTACAGAACGAAAACAAAGGGTTTTTTCACTTGAGTTGTGACTTCTTTTAGTTTTTAGCAACGGTTGTTTGCCTCACGTTCATCTCTGACACTTCCCATCTATCACACAGGCAGAGATGAGTAAACAAACAGCAGCTAAAACAAATGTTTTACTGCAGCACAGACCAGCTGCAGAATCTCATCAAAACACAGATCTGTTTTAGGTATGTGCAATACTTTCTATTAGAATGGAAATGATAAAAAGCAGAAACTCCTCACATCCTGCTTGACTAAAATTCTTAAATGAATGACTAGATTATACAAATGTTGGTCTATTAATTTTCTGTTGGTAAACTAATAGAATTACAGATTTACGCCTCAAACCTTTTGCTTAAATAATACACAATGATGTGAAAACAAAATGTAGTTGAGTTTGATTATCAGGCTTTGTCATCGACTTTAAAATTCTTGCCCATATTGAATCACTTTCTGAATCGACCTTGGGTGGAAACAAATCACCAAACTCACACACAGAGGGATTAAAAAGTTGTTCAATCCAGATCAAGACCACAGCAAAGCATGCTGGGGGGGCAACGGTAAAAATGTGCCTCCACCTCCGGCGACTCACCAGCCGGACCCAGGGCGGGGGGGGCCGTCCTGCCGTGGATCAGAGCGTGATGGCTGCTGACGCTGTGGGACCGACCTGAACACAGCGGCCGCGCGCAACACCCAAATCTTACACACACTTCCACCAAGTTTCATAAAATTAGAAAGCTTTTTTAAGCTATTTTATTTGTTTTAAGACAGCAGACAAGACCTGATAGAAAGAACATGTGCATCATTTTTAAATTCATTAGAGCGCAAAGGACATATAAGGAGAATAATGATACTCATAGTAATACCTATAATTCTTGATAATTACTAGTATAATTTCAAAAGGGATCCTCCGTCTTGGTGCTCGTACCTTAATAAATAATAATAATCAATAGCTGCACTCACTCTCTTCGTCCTCCAGGTCGCTGTCGCTGTCTGCCGAGGCCAGCCCGTGTTTCTGCAGGTGTCTCCGGATGCTGAACCTCGTCCTCTTCAGTCTGCCTTGCCCTTTCAGCCGGGGCTGGTCCACAGAGTCCATCACCGTGAAAATGCTTTTCCCGTTAGTTTCGGGAGCCCCCCCGCCGCTGCCGTTAGCTGGAGCAGCCATGTTTGGAGATGCCGCTTCAGCCTGGGAACAAGGTACAAAAAGGTTTGGCTCAATCAGGGTTAAGAATCAAAATAAAGGCACTAGAGCCATAGAGGGGATAGAGAGAAATGGAGACTTTAAAAAAGATGCTCATTATTCTTATATGAATCATGGTTTAATCATGTTATTTACTTAAATGTATGTAAAAAATATAACTGTACTAGACTTCTGAACTTAAAAATAAGTTAATCATTAAAAATGTGTTTCAAAGAAGTGAAATGAAAATCAAAAAATGTGTGTGGACAAGTGGATGTTGCAGGTATGTGTGTGTGTGTGTGTGTGTGTGTGTGTGTGTGTGTGTGTGTGTGTGTGTGTGTGTGTGTGTGCGTGTGTGTGTGTGTGTGTGTGTGTGTGTGTGTGTGTGTGTGTGTGTGTGTGTGTGTGTGTGTGTGTGTGTGTGTGTGTGTGTGTACCTGGTGTGAGAGTGTCACACTCCCAACGTCGGTCAGCCTGTGCTCCCTGTCGTCCCAGCGACCATATGCCAGGTCGATCCCTCCCACGAAGGCCACCGATTGGTCGACCACAATGATCTTCTCGTGATGCGCCCACAGGTAGACAGCCGAGGAGACGTGGTCCGGGTGACGCATCACCTATAGAGAAAATATTAACTTTTGTTTTTGGACTTTTAAAGTAGTGCGTTTAAAACTGAATCAGAAATCTTGATTTATCACGGGGAATATCATGTTGCTGACATTTGCTCCGTGTGATAAATGTGACGCTCACCTTGATGTTGGGGTGGAGGTGCAGCAGCGTCCTCTTGCTGTATCCGGAGTTTATTCCCAGAGCTAACTCCACTTCTTTGTACAGCATCACAAAGATACGCACACCTTGTTGCTGTGGAAACACAAACAGGAAGCTTAACACCAGTCTAGAGTCAAACAATATTCGTATATTAAAAAATGTTTGGGGTATCCTGGATTCTAATTAAGTTTTTTGAGGTGTTCTTTGGTTAGGGGACAGGAAGATGCAGTTTGTTGCTCACCGCTTTGCGTTTCAGGATGCAGTCCAGACGCCAGCGGTTTCCCTCCACAACCGGCCTCTTCAGGAAGATCTCTGGACTCAACCTGTAGAAAAACGCATTCTGTATTCATATCAATTCAGATTTTATTTCCACTCACTTGCAATATTTCTGAAGGTCAACAGCTGCTGGCAGGTTTGAAAAATCTGTTAATATCACAGGGATTGTATTACATTGATTGTGGAAACAAATCATTTAGGGTGACCTTCAGAGTTCTCATTTGAAACTCAGAACTATGTGAAAATTAGATTATAAAGTCTCATCATTAAATAATGACAACAAGAAATGAGACACAGGCTGCAGTCGAATTGTCAGTTTCTCTTAGGAACCTTTCCTAACGGAGTGAAATGAGCCGGAAGTACTTCAGTGGCAGCCATGATAAGAGCCGTTCGAATTCTCTAGATGATAGGAAAGGAGGTTTCAAACTTCCTTTATAACCTCCTTTAGCTTAGGAAACACTGGATCTTCCTTTACGAAAGAAAATGAGAATATGCTGCCCCACAATGCCTTGCGGCCGCAGCATTTAACGCAAGGGGATATTCGGCCGTTCACGGAAACAACCGATTATGACCGAGAAAGTTACGGTGCTTATTAAGCATTTTAAAACGTATGTGGTAAGTTGCCAAAGTGCTTTGTCTTGAACGTTCATCAGTATTATAATCAAAAAGAGAAATATGAACGTTACAACCTCGTTCATGAAGAATTTATGTTTCTCTGTTGTCCACATTCATAAAGCATAAAACAACACCATCAGAGCGCGGTGCAAAGTCTCTAGATGCGTCTGCCGTTCTTATTAAACATCCATGTAGTCCGCTCACTCCGCTGTATAGAAAACTGTAGTTTCCTCACAGCAGCAGAAGCATATTCATGACGTCCGCTGGCGCATCATAAATACGTCAGATAGTGAAAGTGCAGTCGGATTCTCAAAGCACCGCAGTCTCTTCTCCTAAATCCTTTTGAATTCTCCTATCCACTATCCCTTAACCCCGTGACGTTTCACACAGAGGTCAAGGGATAGACGATAGGGATAGACGATAGGGGCTGATTTTTTTACTATTCGACTGCAGCCACAGTACATTTGATTGATCAAACACTGTGCTCACTTACATTCACAGTTTATAATACTTTATAATAGCTTTTATCCAACAGCAAAACTCTGCTTTTCTGTTTTGGACACTGAAGTACAGTTTAATTCTAACAATTTGAATAAACATTTACTTTAAGTTAATCTGATTGCAAGAGTTTGATTTGAAATAATTGTTTTTCACAATCATTTAAAAATACTCACACTTTGCATGTAGTATTTAAATGTCTGTACGTGTGTGTGTTCAGCATTTGTGTGTCTGTGAACTAGTATAACAGAAGTCTGAGCCTCAGACGGTAACTGATCTGTTTGACCAGAAGACCTCCACAAGAGGTGACCGCCAAGTGCACTCACTGCACCCTGAGAGACACACACACACACACACACACACACACACACACACACACACACACACACACACACACACACACACACACACACACACACACACACACACACACACACACACACACACACACACACACACACACACACACACACACACACACACACACACACACACACACACACACACACACACACACACACACACACACACACACACACACACACACACACACACACACACACACACACACACACACACACACACACACACACACACACACACTTACCACCAGTCTGTGATGAATATTTCCTCTTTGGCTTCTTCAAGAGCATCTGCAACGTCCTCCATGTATGATTTTCCGTTCACATACCTGTAGAGGACACATACACACAAATGTAAACGGGCACACATATCCACATATTGAGCCACACACCTTTAGACAGCAACAAAAACAAAAACAATTACAAGGTCACAAACTTTAAATATCTAATTTTTCGTATAAATTCGCACATTCTGATAGATGCATGCACTCTTTAGCACCTGCTCACAAACTGTGATATAAAACAGCAGGAGGTGAAATCATTTTTCAACATTTCACCAGATAAAATTATCAATAATGACCCTAGTTTGGTGTCATACGTCTGCCACCTCTCAATTTTTAATCTGTCCATCTACTCTCCTTTCAGTATGCTTTTTAAATGGTAGAGCTCACACACTTACACACACACTCACACTCACACACACAGTCTCACAGACTGTATAGTGTTGCCCAGCAGGGAGACAGGTGATGAGCCGGTGAGGCTCACTTTCCCTCTCTTTGTGTCGGGTTACTCCAGCGAAAAACACACACACACAGTCACACACACAAACACACACACACTGCCAACTAAACCAGGCCTCGTCTAGACTTTACCAACATCTGGCTGCGATGCCTGCCTCTAATTAGCATCAATTTACCGCATAAAAGGTGACCTGATTTTGCAAATAAAATCCAGATTCTGATCTAGGCTAATCTAACCCAAAATCTCAAAATGGGTGTGTAAACAACCTTAAATCCCACAACATCAAAACATAGACAACAGGTGCTTTCCTCATTTACATCAAAACACATTATCAAAGAGATACAGTGTGACAGTTGCCGTGGTTACCATTTAGCCGGGATGTTTACTTCTTCTCTGGCGAAGGATCCGAAGCGGTGGTCGGTTAGGAAGGCGGCGCCGTGTTTCTTAACGAAGGCCTCGATGGCCTGACCCCACCAGCGGGCGTGTCTGTAGCTGCTGCACTTCAACACCAAAGATCTGAACACACACACACATTTATAATTCTAATATTTCGATAAAGCTACATTAGCATTTGTGCAAAAGAGTTGATCCTTAGTCACTATTGACACGAATGAGCTATATTCTCTGTTCCTATCAATAAATTATGATTGTTAATAAAATATCACCTGCTGTAGTTCTTTGGACAAAGAAAAAGTTAAAATAGATTTCATTTTGTGTCTTTTTGCTGGTCATACGAAATTATCGGGTTAAGATTGAGCAAATCAATATTATTGTATTCCTTTAATGTCCTAAACTACAATGGCTTTCTTTAGAAGTTGATTTACAGACCCTAGAAAATAAATAAAATTCCCTTGAAAGGTTATCAATGGTGTGCTCTATTTAGTTTTAGAATTTAAAATACTTTTTGGCAAGCTTAAAGTAGTATGTTAAATGAAATACACAGACCTCTTCTTCCAGTAAAACCTTTCCCTATCCTTCAGACATTTAAAGGAAGTTTGGATAAATTAAGGAAAGATTAAAGTAACTTTTAAAAACAAATGTGTCTGAAGCCATTTCCTGGAGTTCGATAAAGAGCTATTCATTTATATATTCTATATTTATATTACATTTAGATTTGTATATAAAAGTGACTTAAAGTACCAGATATAATAAAGTAAATGTTTCACAGACCTGGAGAGACTGTCGATGCGGATTCCGTGTTTGGTCTCCGTGTCTTTGGAGTCCATCTTGATGCTGAACTCTTTATCGAACAGCATCACGAAGGAGACGGCCCCCGACTCCGGCTTCATGTAGAGCAGGCACGAGTCCTTCACCACCAGCCAGCTGCACACGCACATTCAGATTTAGAATGATACACATTTTACCATTTTATATTTCATGTGCTGCACACAGGCAGAACAAAGTTAGACATCATATAGATAAATGGATAGATGTAATTTCATTGATGCTAGATTTGGATTTTGCAAAGGCAGAAGGTAATCCAGGCATTGCAAAACAATACATAAATAAAAGATACAAGGTCATTTTTAAAACCCATTTATTTTTGTTTTAAAGGATTTTACAACATTTGTAGAAAGGTTGAAATATCAGAAATATTTTTTTTCAAGCAGTTTACATAAAGAAATGATCTTCACATCGACAATCAGCATAAACACAAAAACTAATCATATGGAAATGGAGATGAATGTGAGCAGAGCCAACATTTCCGTTATAAATTCTAATCACAGTTGAACCTGGAAGTTTCTCTATAATATCAAAAAGCAGGTCTGAGTATTAGAAAGATATCATGAACTGTGTCCTGACCGTTTGGACCAGCGGTAACACATCCGGCTGCGCCCGCAGCAGTTCAGCCCGGGGATCCGATGTCCGCCAGATCTCTTCAGCACCATTCCTTCTCTGAAAGATAAAACAAACTCTAAATGTGTGGAAAACAAACCACTATATAAGGCTTTAGATATCGCAGTTCATGGTATTCTAGCATTGGTTGGTAAATGCTTAATAAAACGGTTTTGATTGATATCCACATTTGAGTTGAAGGAAATCTGCAATTGTTTTTATTATTTTTTTATATTTACTTAGTTATTTTTGTAATTATTATGTTTCTTAACTATTGCACTATTTTGCCTGTATTTTTATTTTATTTTATTTATTGTACAAAACAAAGCAAGCAAAGTTCCTGCATGAGAACAGGACAAAAAACGTAACAAATAATAGTAATAATACATTTAATTGATAGGACACTCTTCTAAGTACTCAGAGACGCTTTTTCTGATTATTTTCTATAAATAAATGTTTCAGAACCATATATTACAATGTTCTCGAAACCAGTCACATTAAACTAGTATAAAGTAAAAAATGATGTCCGAAACAGCAGGACTAAGTCGTTTTTGAGGTTCAAGAATTAAATACCAAAAGTTATTTATTAACATTTTTGACATGGTGTTGTTCTTACAAGCCTTTTGGTCCCAGATCATGGATGAAGGACAACTGGCTGACGTCAATGAACTCCATCTGAAATAAATAAATAACTGTTTCTATTACAACATTCATCAACATATTTTCCCAAACTATTTTGTAATTTATCAAGATACAAGAACCCTTTTTCTAACTCCAAATGCTCCTTACCGTTGCGTGGTAGTTCCTGTACATCGGCTTCTTTAGCAGATTATTCAAGTAATCTTCCAGTTGTTTCTGCAACACATTACAGAGACTTCAGCAAGATAATAAAGTATTCAGGAGGGACTTTGATTGACAGTAGTGTCTCAGGTGGAGGGCGTACCCTTCGGCTGGAGACCTGGTCATCCCTCTCCAGATCCTCTCCTCCCACTCGGGGGAGGTTCGGCATCTGCCCCCCCTCGCTCCTCGTGACCGCCTGCCTCTTCACCGTGTGGCTGCAGAGAAACATTTTAAATACCAGAACAGAAAATGTCGAAGAAAGAACCAAAGATGATACATAAACTTGCGTTATTCCAGAAGGGGAGAAGGCAGACCTGCGTTTGGGCAGCGGCAGCCTCATGAAGGTTTTGTACGTCCGCAGCTCTCTGTGCAGATCCATGAAGTGTTTCTCCTTCTTCTTCACCAGCCACGTGAACTCCCCGTGCTTCATCTCGATCTTAAACACCGCCGGCAGCGACTGATCAACACAGACACATTTAATACATTTTAAAGAGGTTACCTCGTTTTGACAAGATTTGAAAAACGAACCAAAGGATGTTGATAATTGCTAGCAACTTTGCTAGTTTTAGCAACTTTACAAACTCTATTTGCAGTTTTAATTAAGCAGAGCCTTTTTTTACTGCTTGAAGAAAATTATAAATTCATCATATTCTATAAGAGCATCATATGTTTGTAGCTTTTTTGCTGTCCTGTGAGAACCATGTAACTCTTGAATGAGTCAACTTTTAATAGTGTCAACATAGCTGCAATCATATGTTCAGGAGGTTCAGGAAAAGTTCAAGTCCTGTCATATAAAGCAGCAGATGTAGTAGAAAATGGAAGTACTCAAGTAACGACCAAGTAACTAACAGTTGTATTGAAGTACAGTACTCAAACATGTTCTCAATTAGTTTTAAATGTTAATAATTATGTTTAACTGTTCAAATAAATCAAGCCTGGACTAAAAAAAAAAAACCTGCCAAAAACTGAAGAAGAAATGTGGTTGCCATTATACCGTTGAGCATCTTGCAGATAAAAAGAACCCAGTTTGTGAGGAATTGAAGACGAAAAAAGACTGTACAGAGGGAGTTGTTTAGAAGGTGTGTGTGCACCTTGTTGACGCTCCTCTGCGCGGTGACGTTGAAGCGGTCCTGAGCCGAGGTGAAGCGCTCCACCTCCAGGATCTTAGCGGTAATCGGAGACGACAGGAAGACGTTGGCCGCCGACTCTTTGAAGGCCACCATTTGGTAGATCGCCTTGAAAGGAAGACGCTCGGCTGCAGAAACACACCAGCAGATATAAAACCAGACAAAGATATGATGGTAGGTGAACGCCACGCTGAGAAAACACACTCACCTGAGAGGTGATCGTCCGTGGTGTCGTACTCTCCATCCTCCATGTCCAGCTCGCGGTCGTCCAGCTTCTCCATGATGCCCGTCATGTCGTTGGCCACCAGCTGCAGGGTGCTGCTGGTCGGCTCGGATTGACGCAGCATGTCAGCACTCAGTGTGGAGCCCCGGGCTCACCTGGAGAGACAGGTAGGGAGGAGACCCTCAATAACAACTCACATACTTATTGATGCTTACAATGAAAGAAAGAGGGAGCTGGGATCGGCTGGTGGGCAATTTAATCACCTGAAATCTGACTTGGATTTAACTTTTTTACCTTTGACATATCTCTTAAGGCACATGTGTCAAACTCAAGGCCCAGGGGCCAAATCAGGCCCTTGGTGGATTTAATTTCGGCCCGCAGGATAATTTTAAATTACTATTAGATCTGGCCTGCCGGTATATTGCACGCACACCTTCACTCAATCCTGAGGGTCTCCTCAGCTCAGAGCCTGAGCCCAAACATTGATGAACTTGCACCCGAGATGAGATGCCAAGTATCTGGCTTGAACTAGCATCACAGAGCAGCAAACTGAGTTTAAATGGATGTTTCCTTTTGCACTTTTTTTCTTGCGACAACAGGGCATGCTTGGTTTTTTCTTTGAGGGAAATTGTTTTTTTGAAGCTGTTGTTGGCCTGTGGAAAAATGTAATCATAAGAAATGACTCTGGAAAAGTTGCAGATAGAGCCATAAGAAATGAATGCAACTGATTATTTAATGTTTAATGTTGTTTTTATAGGCAATAATTGAAGCTTTGTTAGTTCCAGGTTTAATATGTGCAATAAGTTCATTTCAATACGTTTTTGCAATAAACATTGAACCAGTCCGGCCCTCGACTATACCGATTTTTTTATTTTGGCACACTGTGTATTTGAGTTTGACACCCCTGCCTTAAGGTCTCAAAAAGCAATATATACCTTTTGAGGATCATTATGGCTGCAAGTAAAAAATAATTTTAAAATGCAGAGGAATCCCCACTCCATTGCTTTTCGTATTAACATGACTCCAAAAGGAGAAGGTGGAAAAATAAAGGGAAAAAGGGGATTGTAATAAACATCTAGGAATGTCTTATTTCTTGTATAACCTCTTTTACATGCATTTATTTTAATTTATTATCTTTAATATTCACTGATAGTGCCGTGTTGTCCATGTCCTCACCTGTTCTATGTTAGAAAATGGAGAAAGTGTTAAACCAAAATCCTCCTCAATTTGAAGGACAATATACATAACCCAGACACTCTCTTCCACTTGCTCTTCTACGGCTGGAGCATCTGCAGGAACTGAATAATAAGCGCTGCTTCTGCACTGGATCCATCACTAATGCAAAAACCAAGTTCCTCATCCATCATCCAATACTTTCTTTTAATGCTCTCCATCTTTCTCCCCCGGCTCCCTACATCAAGACACCATTTGTCGTTGCAGCCAGATCCAAACATCAGGAGCAGCAACGGAGAAGAACAGGAAGCAGAGAATCTGTCTAACCACATTCCTCAGCACATGTGTCAGTGTGTGAGTGTGTGTGTGTGGACAGAGTAGATGAAAGGTTGTTCAAGTGTGCGCTCAGGACCATACATACCAGTTGCTTGGAAGGTTTCACATGTAAATGTTTAACTTTTATTTTACATGAATTATGACTCCAACAGCCAGAATATATCATGTGTAATTCCACAGGATTCATTCAAAATTGGGTTTGGGCAGAAGTCAGTAAACCTCTCTTTGTATGAGATTCTTCCTGCCCTCACAAAACTTTCCAGATATGACTCAGTAAAAAAAACAATTACTGTTTTGGTTCTGCTGAGAGTTAAGCTGCGGTTTCACTGTGGTCTGTCTGCTTTCACAAAAACACCAAAAGCAACCACAGCGGGCGGGAAATCAACAGCTCTGATCCCCACCAGGCCTGTAAAAGTGCCCTTGAGCCAGACGTTGAACCCCCACGTGCTTCTTTAAAAAGCTACGAGCTGAGAATGCAGAATTGGCTCAAAAAGGCTGGAATCAAACGTTAAAAAAAACGGTAGTTTAAATGGAATTTTTCACAAAACAGCCAAGTGTCTCCTTCTGCTTGTACTGATTCATGTTTCTCTCGTCTGACTGTGGATCAAAAGTGTCCCTTTAATGTTGCCCCCCATCATTAAAACACCACCATCATTAAAACACTTTTGCCCCCCCCCATCATTAAAACACTGTTTTTTTAATTAAGCTTTGAAACGAGTTTATTGATTGTTCTTATTAAATTAACTTTTTGTTAATTGAATACAAGTCATAACTATTATTATTTGATACGTACCACTTTTAGAGGCCAGATTAGGCAAGATCACATTGAAAAATAAATGGAATTTTTGGGCAATCTTAAAGCTCATTGTACAGGTCCCAAGCCTTATTTATAATTATTTTACAGTATAGATATATATTTGTTTCTCATTGGGTATTTAAGCAAATTCGATGCAAATGCAGCAACATTTACTGTTGTACAATAAAGGCAGCAGACACATTTGGTTGCACAGTCCAAACACACACACACACACACACTGGGGGTAGTCAGTAAAATGCAAACAATGAATCCTGTGTGTGGCTGTTGTTTTGAGACTGTGTGGTAGAAACATTTTTGTGTGAGAGTGCATCATAGGTGTGTCTGCAGACGCCTGACAAAAGATCCCGGTGAACCAGTGGTGCAGGGAGTTTAAAAATAAACGTAAGCCAGCAGAACCTGAAGAAACTGATCTTATAAAGATTCAAATAAAGCAGCTGGAGGCGAAAAACACTTCTCATATTCCCTGCTCATGTAAAGCAGCACAGCTTCAGTTACATTTACTGCAGCTCTGTATAATTATAGTCTTTTATCTGTGGGAGAATGTTGTTATCTGCAATAAAATAATATACAGGAACTTGACTTGTTCCCCACATTTGAATACAATTTGAAAACAAACATTTATATTTGTATGAGTCTGTATCCTTGAATGCTAAAAAGCATGTTGTCTCTACTTCCTTCCACATAAACAAATAAAACCTGCATTGTTTACCTTATAGATAAGGATTATTTATCACATTTTATTTTTATATTCTTTGAAAGCCTACAATATTGTCACAATATTAATATCAAGGTATTCAATCAAAAATTTTGATTTTCTCAACATTGCCCAGTCATAGTTACATTAAAGGTGGGGTAGGTAATTCACTTCAGAAACACTTTTTGTTATATTCCATGGAATGCTCTTAACATCCCGATAGCAATGAATACATTAAATGCTTTGACAATACATAAATACATAAAAAAAATGTCATCTGTGGAAGCCGTGGCGCTGTAAAAAGCACGACCAATCATCTGAGCCGGCCCGGGTCAGATAACTGGATGGCCTACCTGCCTGTCAGCCTTCCATCTCGTGCACAAATGTATCTCGTGCCCTCATTGGTCATGTGCGCGTTCGTGTGTGTTGGAGGAGGGGCTCTGTAAGGAAGTCTGAAGGAAGGGGCAGATTTTTTCCGGCTGTGTATTTTCAAATTCTAGGGCACTCGAGCTGGTTTCTCCAAAATTACCTACCCTACCTTTAAGTAAATATAAAATATAAAAATAAAGATTCATTAAGCTGTCAGGTTAAATCCTTTCTATTTGAGAATATTATCTGAGAACGACCCGAGTTGAACCTACATGACTAAAACAATGAGGAAATGTAATGTCCATAATTTACCTTGGAAATATGATTAATGCAGGCTGAGTTAGTGTATGAGATTGTGTGCATGATGCCCAGTGAGCACTCACATAAATTGGGTACAGTGTGGCCCATCACCCCCCCACTGCATCACTCGCCAGCCAGGTGGCAGGCTGCTGAGTCCACACACACACACACACACACACACACACACACACACACACACACACACACACACACACACACACACACACACACACACACACACACACACACACACACACACACACACACACACACACACACACACACACACACACACACACACACACACACACACACACACACACACACACACACACACACACACACACACACACACACACACACACACACACACACACACACACACACACACACACACACACACACACACACACACACACACACACACACACACACCTCTTTCTTCCTTCGTTCTTTAACTTGTGAAACTTGTCATTTTTGTGCACACAATGAAGTATTTAAAACCATTTTCTGACACATTCTGCAAGTCCTCAGTATGAATCATTATCCACACTTCACGGGTAACAATAGGAAATGTGATGATTTCTCCTTCTTTAATTAGATCAGATATTACGCTAAAACGCCTATTCACAGAGACAACAACAAAGGAGTCATGCGTCAGAGGTGACACTGCAGAGAAAGTATGTAAGATTTATAACAATACTGTATGATGAATAAGAGATTATCAATAATAAACATGGTGTGTGAGCCTTAACACACCCAATAACGAAATGTAGGGAATAAATACAAGTGATGAACCAGAAACAAAGACCAATACAATAAGAACAAATCTTTTGAATTGAAAACAATCAAAGCCATATCTAAAAGACAAAAGTTTCAACAATTATTAGGTTTCTCAACTGTTGGCCGATAAGAACTTCTATGTATCTGTGGAGCATTTTGGCAACACTTACCACCATTTTTTAAACATTTAAAACACCAGAAGAAAAAATGACAAACTGGTTTATGTTTTTTTGATTTACTATGAAATCATAATAAGCCGTATTGAAGATGTCAAATTTGGCTCTGACAAATTGTGATGGCTTTTTTTGTTATTTTCTATATTTTTGATAAAACAGTCGATCTAAGTCAATGTTATCCATACAGTGCATTTTACAAAATGTTGCATTAAGAAAATTGCCCAGACAGAGCAACAGGAATCAATGGGTCTTGCACATTTAACACAGAGAATGTTGAGATTAAACAAATAAAACATTTTTTTTAAATTAAAGTCTGACGTTTTTTTGAAGTTCGATCAAAAATGTTTTGTTTGTGGGAAAGATATTTGAAAAATCTGACTGTGATAGCTTGGACTCTTAAAATCTTTTTTATTTGAAGACTCAAGATTGGGTTTCTGTAACCTGTAATGCCATTTATTGTTTTTTTATATTTATAAGTACATAATTCTAAATGAAAAAGGGTTCTAA